TGGCTGTGGAATTCTGGGAGTTGAAGTCCACATGCCTTAAAATTGTCAAGGTTGAGAAACACTGGTTTAGCAAGTTATTTTCCCTCCTGTCCTGCTTGGTTTACCAGGAACATTGTAGACTTTGATCTGACCCACTACATCTATGGCATTTTATGTATAAAAGCCATCTACTTGTTTTTTCAATGACTGCTGGTACAGATTGTTTTGTTAGATTACAAGAACTCAGCTGTAGGCTCCTCCTTCCCCCTTCCCCCCATCAATAATTCTGAGAAGTGAGCTGGGCTGCAAGAGTGTGATTGATCCAAAGCCAGTGAGTTTATGTGGCTGAGTGGGCCACAGCCTGGGTCACCCTGTGACAGTCCAGCAGTTTAACTACCATATTACTATGGTTCTCAAAAATGACCTTTCATGTACAGTCATATTTTCTTCATAATCTTCTTATGTGGTTGTTTCTTCTTGAATATAAACTTTGAATAGTGCTATGTGCCTACAAACAAAAAAGAACGTAAACATGTTTTATCAAAAGTATTACAGTTTTCAAATAATTGGAAGTAATAGTTTCTCTGAATAGGTCACACCTCCATGTACTGTATTATCAAACTCTTTAACGACTTAGAATATGTTCAAAGATGGTTTATAATGATAGTTATGGTACTAAAAGCAAAGCTTTAAGAAGAGAGATCTAAGCTTGAGCTTGAGAAGACAGCACTTTTCATATGCGTCTCTGAAGATCAAAAACTATCTAGGGTTCTAAGAACTTTGAAAGATATGATTCAGTGGTTCTGAGATCACGTCTGTCAGTTCCTTCAAAATTCTGGGATATAATCCATTAAGGACCCAGAGATATGAATGTGTCAAGAGATGACAGGTGTTCTCTTTCCTTATTTTTGCTTATTTTAATTTGCATTCTTGGCTGTCTTTTATGGTTTTGTTTTTATAATTTTATTATGAAATAAATATTCCAAACACTAAGGAACAATTTCAGTCAGGAGAAACCAAATAGATATTATCAGTGCAAGAAGCTATAACACTCTGCTGTAGGGACTGCTGTAAATAATTGTAACTACAGGAATTTATTAATTATTTAAATATATTAATGAAATTATTCTACCAGTAGATGGGGTATGAATCTGTAGCTCATATTTACAAATAAGATTCTTAGTGGCATTTATCTTAAATGTTTTATATTTTTGTGTGATCTTATGTAAAATTAGGCATATTTGATTTCAATACATTTACATGTTTTTGATTTGACAGAATGGGGCTCTTATGTCCATAAGCAATAATGTAGAATTGCAGCTTGAAATTTAAGAACATATTGGAGAAATGTTCTGTAAATATAATTAATGAGGTTATTATCAGAAAACAAATGCATCTGCATAACAGTTAACAATTTAACAAAATATAACTTAAATAATCTATATTGTTTACATACAGCTAAAATATTGATATGCCACTTCCCTTGATAGTACATATGGTACGGTATATCTCTTTTTAATACTATGTGCAAATCCCTACAAGCAAATATGTGTGACAGCAAAAATATATAGCCCAAGGAGTATAATATATGAATCACAATTGCCTGCGGTAAAAATGTTTGCATTGTGGTGTCCCAGAATCAAAAGGGATATTAAGTAAACATTTTATAATCTATTTATAATAATTGCATCTTTTTACTGAAAATTAGCTTCTCTGCTCTATAACATTTTACCAGTAGATGGAGATATTCACAAAGAACCAATTTGCTTAGTTAATTGTTTTCTATCAAAAGACCTCCATTTAAAGGTTGATCTCTATACATTTACCATAGGCAAATGGCACAGGGAATAGCATGTTAAAAAAGAATTGAAATAAAGTGTAAAATGCTGCCATATTTTAGCAGTACTTTGATGTCTCATTCCCACTCCATCTCATCATATCTCTAGTAATTAAAACTGTACATAAAAACCCTGTATAACTATATAGGTGTTGCACCTTGTGATGTGCTTTTTTTTATTCCAATCTAGTCTATAGTTGTGGAATTCCATGATCTTCTCCCACCCAACTCTTATTCAGAGCTAGCCCTGCTCAGTAAGCCATCTGAAATAATAACATTTAACAGCTGGATTAGAATCACCTTCAGCTGATGCTGTCCAGATGTACTGGAACCAGAAAACTTTAAATGGAAATAGGCATCTGGCTGGGAATTCTGAAGGATGTTCCAATATATCTGGAAGGTATTTAGTTGAGAAAAGGTACAATAGGAGCTTTCACATTATTTTTATTGTTAAGGAAAGAATAGGTTAGTTCAAGCACTGATCTTTTGTATAAAACAGGGCCAAATGCAAAACCTTTCCCTGTTATTGCCAAGAAATTAACATTGACCTGGCATATATTACCAAGACCTGGCTGGACTCAGAAGGAGATTTGGCCAGCCAAGTTTGTGGCACCAGTTGAGAACCCAGGGCCGGGGTGAAGGTGTGATAAATGTTATCTGAGAATCACTTATGGCTTTCAGGGGCATTGCCCTCAAGTCACTGGTTATGAGACCCTGTTCATTAAGCTGGGCTCTAGAGATCAGTTGGGAGCGTTGCTGTGGTACAAGTCTGCCTGTGTAGGAATCTTCCTGCCAGAGCTTGACTCCATCTCTGGATTGGCAGTGGAGTTCCCCAGACTTATGGTCTTGGGGAACTTCAACATGCTTTCCCTAAGAGTGTGGTCTGAGGTTGCCCAGATGTTCATAGACACCATAATGGCCATACATCTATCTCATGTCATTCCTAGTCTGACACAGAACAGCAGTCACATGCTTGTTCTGGTGTTCTATCAGCAGTGGCTGTATGATCTGAACCTAGGGGAGCTTCTGGTGTCACCCTGTCATGGTTGCATCATGCCTTGATTACCATGGGGTTCTCTGGCACTGATATTCACTACAGGAAGGCTGGATCCATTAGATCAGTGGTTCTCAACCTGTGGGTCGCGACCCTTTTGGGGGTCACACGAGCCTTTCACAGGGGTCGCCTAATACCATCAGAAAACACATATTTCCGATGGACTTAGACAGGGCTTGTCAACCGCCTTCTCTCCCTCCCTCCCTCTGCTCCACCTCACTTGTTTCTGGAAAATATGCTGCTTGGCGGCAGTCTGCACAAAGTCTACCAAATGTGCCCTGCAGGGGGCGCATGAAGAGCACAGGCGCAGAGCAAGGCTCCGCCCTCCCCAGAGACTCATTGTGCAGCAACCGGATTGACTTCTTCTCATGCACGCAGGTCAGCCAAGGGGAGGCCACTCAGCACCCAACTCCTGCGTCTTTTGGCGAAGCTGAACAAGTGAGCTGGGCGGAGCTCTCCTGTCTCTGTGCAAAGGCAGGTTTGCCAGCAGCAAAGCCCCCAGCCACACTGGCAGCCTATCCCCCTCCCCTTGTCCCTTCCTGGCAGGGGGGTGGGAAGGAAGGAAGGAACGAAGAGGAATGGAAGTAAGGAACAATGAGAGAAGGAAGGAAGGAAGGAACAATGGAAGGGAGGGAAGGGAGGAAGGGACAAAGAGGAAAGGAAGGAAGGAAGGAAGGAAGGAAGGAAGTTAGGAAGGAAGGAAGGAAGGAAGGAACAATGGGAGAGAGGGAGGGAAGGAGGAAGAGACTAAGGGAGGGGAAGGAAAGGAAAGAAGGAAGGAAGGAACAATGGGAGAGGGTGGGAAGGAGGAAGAGACTAAGGTGAAGGAAAAGAAGGAAAGAATGAAGGAAGGGACAATGGGAGAGAGGGAGGGAAGGAGGAAGAGACTAAGGGAGGTGAAAAAAGGAAGAAAAGAAGGAAGGAAGGGACAAGGGGAGGAAAGGAAGGCAGGCACCCACCCCAGTCCCATCCCAGAGACCCATAGATTCCCCCCCCCACAGGCACTCTGCAACCTGAGTGATCAGCTGGCCATGCCCCCTGGCCATTGATCACATGATCCTGGGACACTGTGAATGTCATAAGTATGAATCAGTTGTCAAGCATCTGAATGTAAATCACATGACCCTGGGGATGCTGCAACAATCATAAGTGTGAAAAATGATCATTAATTCGCTTTTCCAGTGCTGTTGTAACTTCTAACAGTCACTAAGCGAATTGTTATAAGTCGAGGACTATCTATACTTTCCCATTTTTTCCTCTTTTTTTTTTTGGTCAAGTTTTTGATACCCTCCCTGGCAGCTGGATGGGGAGTTGGGGGTCACCACAACATGAGGAACTGTATTAAAGGGTCGCGGCATTAGGAAGGTTGAGAACCACTGCATTAGATTGATTTACCCCTGGTGACTGATGAACTTGGATGGGTTTCAGAGGGAGCTGGGGGGGGTGTGTTTCTATTGGTTTGCTGCATAGTCTTGGAATAAGAATATGCTACATAGTCTTGGAATAAAAAGGGGCAGCTGAGGTATTAGATCAGATTTCACCCATATGTCTTCTCCCCTCTCAGAGATCCTGGCATTCCCTATGGTTTACAGAGATTGAGGGAGATGAAATGAGAGCTATCCATAGCATTGCTGGCGCATATTAAGGACAAACTTGAAAGAATGTGGATTAGAGCTGTTTTAAGGCTTATTCTGTGGGAGTAAGGATGGCAAAGTGGCTGTGTTTCTCTGCCCTTATTGCATCCACGGATTGCTGCACCCCAGTTCTTTTCAGGTGACACAAGCCTTCTTGGGTAAAGGGAGTCTGAGGAACCTTTTGCAAGGTAATGCAAAGAGATTTGCATAGCATCTGTCAGATAAAATTGCTTGGATTCTTTCACAGTTAGATGCTGACCTTGTTGCAGGTCTGGATGAGATGCTTCTGGGGAGAGGTCTTGTCTGGTTATCTAGGAATGATTTGAACCTGAGGAAGTGGACAGGGTTCTTAGGACTGTGAAATTAGCCACATGCTTCCTAGATCCATGCCCCTCATGACTGGTGGAAGCAGCCTAGGGGGTGTTGTATGAGTCAGTTGTAAAGAGAAAGAGGGTTCTTTGAGCAAGGGGATAAATTGGACAAATAAATAAATAGGTTGATGGAGACAATATCTTTATTATGTATCCCCTGTGAAATGCGAAGCATATGCAGCCATATAATTCATGCGAGTATATGAAGATCATATTTTTAAATGAAGATGCACAACATTGATAAGACTGACTAAAAGAAATGAAAAAAGAAAAAGATAGCTGCAAAGGAATTCCTAAATATAGAGTGAAAATCTAGATGAAAAGACAGGAAATATAAAAGAAGGTATCAGGAAAAAGAAACACTTGGTTGAGTGCGTACAATTAAAAATTGATGTCGTTTCAAAATAATCATAATGTGTGCCAATATAATTCTATCTATGGGTAGTACATACCAAATGATAAGGATTAATATGCCAAAAAACCTTGGACTTAAAGCTCCAGTTAATAGTAGGGAAGAGAGAGATGTTATATAAACAGATCTAATTCCCAACAGCTACATAAATGACAGGTTTCCAGATCTGCTAATTTTCTTGCTTTGTTTTAGCATGTATTTAAATAAAATATAAAAGTTATCTTTAAGTATAGAAAAATACATTGTTCATTTGTAGCTGTTGCAATTTTTTTTAATTATTACTTTTGATTTAATCTTATATATTGTTCAAAACATAGATGTGTCCATATGTTCCTATATTCTTGTTCATGAAAATACAATCTGTAATCGTATTTTATTAATAATGGACAAATAATGTATTTTTCTAAAATCTGATTATGTTCCTCGCTGAGCATTCTAATTATGTTTCTCACAAGAATCAACACCTTTCTTCCTTGCAGTCAGCATATTTCTATGTAATAATAGAAGAAGAATATATCCTTTGCTATAGTAAAGTTTTTGTAGCACAACTTTCATACGCATTTCCCAGTTATTATCTATAAGAAGAATTTACCTATATAAAACCTAAAACAGGAAACTTGTCCCTTTATCATCATACCCTTATAAGTTGTATACAAAAAGGACAACTCTCCTGTTTTAGGTTTTATATAGAAAGAATTGTCCTAATTAAATGGTACCTGGTTCCATTTCTTTCTACCACTAGTTGCAAATAATCTTCAGATAATTAGCCTATCCATTTAAGACTACTAAAATTAAGAAACAAACTGTATATCGGAGGGGCTACCTAATATGATCTAACATTAATAATATCATCTATTCCTCCTCAGAATCAAGCTGATAGAAGCCCAATATCTCCCAGATCAATATAAATAGCACCAAAGCAAATACCACTTCAGTGGGAAGGCAACATGACCACAGAAATTGTCTTTGGAAAACTCTGGCTCCCTCAGGCAAGAAATGGAGATGAGCTTTGCGCCCTAAAGTTGGACATGATTGACATATGTCAGACCTTTGTACTTTGTTGTCCTTATTTTAGATAGTCAGTGTTTTAACATCTGATATAAACCTATTATCAGAACAAAAGAAAATCTGAAACAGAGTTGAGAGAAATAGGAAAGCATACCAGATCAGGATTCATTTTTAAAAATTAAAAAAAAGCTTTCCATCCCATTTTTTTTTTTTAATTAAGACATAATCACATATTCCTTGGATGTCTGGCAAGGCTTCTGAGCTGTTTTGCTTCCTACCATGCATTTTCCCAGATTCTTTTCTCTGAAAAACATTTGAGCTGTTACCCTTGTGGCACTCCATGTGAAGATTTACAACAGAAGCCAAAACAGGATGTACTTGGTTAAGATATAAACACTTCATTGAAAACTAGCCATAGGAATGAGTGATTAAAAACAACAAAGCTTTGTGATGGGAAGATACATCAAGGAATCTAGGTTCCTTCACTGCTGCCTAATTTGCTTATTATCGTATATGCATGAGAGTCTATCACAGAACATTATGCTTGATGAAACATTCTTGAAAAATCAAATGCATGTACAATCTTTTGTATTGGTCTAATAAAACAATATCTCAATGTAATTGTATCTGTTTTCTCATGTCCAGCATGACTGTTTTCAATAGAGCATGAGAAAAAAAGATAAAAAATGAAGTTAATAAACAACTTATATCTCATTTCATATGTGTTTGAGTAAAAATCAGTAGCAAAATCCTAACTTGTAACTTAGCTTCAAATAAGCATTTGTGAAAATTAATATAATTGAAATCGATAGATTTTATTTCTTACTAAGCATAAAAGACATTAGCAGATGTGGATTATAAATGTTATTTTGTGTTGAGTTTTACAGATAACACACCAGAAGTTACATCTGGCAATCTTTTTAAAGATCTTTCTACTAGATGGTGCTAGTAGAAATCTATCTTCTCAATTACTTTATGTTTACTCAGAAATAAATCATACTGATTTCAACTGATTATTGTAAATGTGAGATAATCAAAAAGGACCAAATTAGTAGCATCCAGTTGAGGATGTCACCTCCAGTTGTTTTTGTTCATCTTCAAAGTGGCTTTCTAGATCTGCTAATTTCTGTCCCTCCTTCCTTCTATCTCTTTCTCTCTCACACATACAGACACCCCTCTCTCCAATAGTAATGCAGAACTGTATCTAATTCAGGGTTGAACTATTGGAGTCTTGGTGTTTTCTGAGTTTGGTTGTTTTCCTGCAGACATTTCATCTTAAGACTAGGTAGCATCATAGGTGCATAGGATGATAGGTCTGCTAATGTTAGCTAGTCTCGTAATGAAATGTCAGCATTTCAGAGGGCACCAGTAAATCAACAAAAATTAACTATTTGAACAACTGAGAAGGATGAAATTCTAAGTACCTGTCAGGGGTTAAGGAGAACAACAGCAATAGCTTGTGCACTAAATAAATGCATATTCCAGGCAATATGACATCATTGCAGCATTCTCATTTAGAGCCTTAACTCCATGCATTAACTCCATAAGGAAACATACGGTAACTGGAATTGCTGTTACAAATGAGTAGTGATATTGCAAATGGGTACTGTGAGAAAAGATCCTGGCATAGCTGCCTCATCTCTGTTTCTGCTCGTATGTGGGATCTCACAAGTCTGAAGCTGACATAATATCCTTATGCCAAAGCCATAGAATTGCCTACGTGAATAATTGATGTCTTTTTAAAAATAAATTGAAAAGATATGTAGCATCTGAGGCATCATAAAGTATTTAATATGCCACTAAGATCTAATTTTACATATAATAATATATTACATTAATTTGTGCTTATCTAAAATGAAGACAACCAATATTTAACTATTTTCCCTATTCAAAGGAAATGTACAGAGGAAAAAATAATAAAAATTTTTCATCCCGTCAGTCGAGGGTTGCCATCACCATCTGAAACTAATTTGGGAATTGCTCCCCCATTACATAAATGTGTGCATATGACACATATTTATATACGTGTATGTATGTGTGTCTATGTATCTGCCAGAAGCACCTTCCGAAAATGGGCAAAATTAAGGAATAAATAAAAACACTGAATTGATAGCTAAAATGTATAGTAAAATGTGTTACTTGTAATAACCAGCACTTTATTTTTAACATTTGGCTCTGTATATAGCAACCATTCAAAATCATATGCACAAATTACACACTCTCAAGCACATTGGTGTCCAGAAACAGCAAAAAAGAAAGAAAGAAAGAAAGAAAGAAAAGAAAAAAGAAAGAAAGAAAAGGGAATGGAGCTGGGTAAGAGGATTAAGGAAAGATGGAAAATCTGAACTAAATGAATGGAATGAGGACATTGGAAGAAATAATTGAATAAAGGAAAAGAAAGGAAATGAGATTCCTTTGTGTATGCTTTAAAAGAAATTAAACTTCACAGGGAAATGCTAATCTTCAAGGGCAATTCTACTCTTCAGCAGTGATGTTTGCAATCATTTATATTATGCACATTTCTATATGTTACATTCCTGTCTTCTTCTCAGCAACCCTATCCAACCCCCTGATTAATAGGTACCTATTTGAGGAAAAATGTTATCCATATTTCTCTTTAATATTTTAAAGAAACACAGAATACATAGTCAATCCACAGACATATTTCCAGTCAGATGATAATCACTGGAAGCAGTTTCATTTCTTGCCAAACTGAGGCAGTGGTGGTGGTATCTTGATGTCTTGACCTTTCTCCAACTTCTTTTCACAATCAACCATATAGTTCACACCATCAATGACTAACTGGACAAGTTCCACCTGAAATAAAAGTAAAAGTTTCTGACATTAGATTATGAAGCTATAAGAAGATCAGGTAGTTCTATTGATAATTATGTACCACAAAGTTTATTATATCTTCAGTAAATTATACTTCATAATTCTTCCTAGACTATGCCATTTCTAAATTCTAGGAGAAAAGTGCATTGTGAATAATCCAATACAACGTGCGTTGAAATTGGTCACATGGAAGAAAATTAAGCTAGAACATGGAAGAAAAATGCAACCATACATTTCAATACAAAGTGGTTAACTCTAGAAAGATTTAATCTGCAAGTTTTTAAAAAATGTGTGTAGCTTGTCTCTCAGATAAAACAATTACATGGTAATAGTACTCCTTTCTTTTGTCTTTTAAAATCCTAAATTGTGGAAATGCTAGATTAACATAGTTTTTATATGTGAAAATACTGGATTAGATATCAAAAGCCATCAGCAGAAGAAAGCCCAGGAAACGTTGCATAAATACAGCAATCTTTCTGAAGAGAATATAGTAGGGAGAGGGGAGCCTTACAGGGGAAGGAGGAGAGGAGATCTGGATCCTGCCCATCTTCCAGCTTCCCTGTTCAGACTCAAGGCCCTGAGTGCTAGAGCAATTCTCACTGATTCTGCTGAATGCTAAGTTCATTAGTAATAAGACCTTCCTCTTCCATACTGGAGGAATGGGAGGGCCTGGCGTGTGTCACTGAGATCTGGTGAATGAGGATGAAGGAGCACCCCTGCCCAAAATGTGCTTATTTGAGTTGAGGGCATGGACGAGGAGTGGTATAATTAAAAAAACCACTGGAATACTAAAATTCATCTTTATTTGGAGCAGTGGTCCTTAAAATATGAAAAATCAAAAAGGTGAAGAATTAACAGCATTGGAAAACCTTACAATTACAGGCAGAAATATTCAACTCTGGTTGTAATGCTACCTTTAGTGTTTTCCCTAATCAGTTGGCCTCCTCTGAATAAATATTATTTCATGTAGGAACACAGCATATTATACAGGTGGCCATAATTATCCATGGTTTAATTATACATAATTTTCCATGTCTGTAATGGGTAAATAAAGACCAAATTTCATTAGTTGAATAAGGATTTTCACATATCTGTGATTTTGGCACTTTTTTGTGTTTGGAGGAAGGGTTTTGGTATGTTTTTTGTGACTGTAGCCTATGAGGAAACGGCATATGCGTAAAATAAAGGAAAGGGTGTAAAGTATATATTTTTAAAGATCTTGTTATCTATGCTAAAACCTAAGTGGAAAGAAGTGTGTTGGTTACTCCTGATTTATAAAATCATTTTTGTGGAAGGATAGGCTACCAGAGAAGACTATAAGCCCCACAGCTCTTTCCTTCCTTCTCCTGCCTTCTTGTCCTTCTCCCATGTCAAGATGATCCAGATGCCAATCAAACATCAGCTACATCAGCTGCCAATCAAGCAGGTAGGGGAAGAGAGGGGAAGATATCTGCCTGGGGGAATAAACAGAATCAAAGCAACAGGGATAGTGCAAACTAGGGCACAAGAGGCACATTTCTTCTTTGCCTGAGACTGGAATGAAGAAAAAGTTTTTCTGTTTCCCTCATCTGGATCAAAGGAGAGAAGAGTCAGGAAGCCCAGTTGAGAACACATGAGTGGAAAGGTGGAGAAACAGACTTGGATGGAAGAGAAATAGAAACCAGAAAGTAAAAAAAGATTAAAAGACAGTTGGAATTATGTAGAAGTTTAGCTCTATGGATAATGACAATCAGGGCACATAGGACTTAAGACAAAAGAAATTTAGAGGTCAACAATAAACTAATATGTTAGACATACAGAATAGAAAGATAGGAACAACCAGTGAATAGTAGAATTGTGGGCATTGTAACTCCCTTACTTTTGTGATGAATAGATTCAGTTAATCACATTTATATACTTTTTCAGATATACAAAAAATCACAGCTTTCGTGATTTTATTTTCCCCAATATTATCCACACATATGTAAAGGTATTTATTTATTTATATGGCCACCTATCTGATATACATGATTCTGAATGGCACACACCTTTAAAATGAATACAATTATACATGATTGCTAAAAAATAAACCAAAAATAAGATGCACACCAGCTAGAGAATCACAGCTAGGACACAAGCTCCATCACACACACCCAGGGCCAGCATAACTGCCAGCTCAGAAATCACTAAATTGGGTGAGGATTGTTCCTCAAATAAGCGAATATATCATTGATATGGCAAATACTTTCAGACACCTAGGTAAATAGATGTTTCTCTTCAGTTTTGCCTCCTATTAAAAAAAACTAGACAGAAACTTACCTCTGATCGTCCAATACGATCTAGATTGGAAATATCATACACATCTGCTACAGCAACTGTGTCAACTCCACCTGTGCCACGCTTCTGAAGTCTCAGGTTTTCCAGGATCTTTGAAAATCTAGGATCCTACAATATAAGGGACAATCACTTGAAAGCAAAATACTGAGCCTTTTTTTTTACGACATGCATGTTTGTAAACAAATTGTTCATCTAATTAAATCATTTAAGAAGGAGGTTCATCACCACTGTTTTTTCTGGATTGGTTTTACAGGCATCGCAAAAGATTGTTTTATGTTTAGGAGTCATATAAATTGCTTACTTACTTTGCTAAGTTTTGGAAGTTTAACATGAACTCCTGCACGTAATCCAGTTCCCAGGTTAGATGGACAAGTGAGGATGTATCCTAAATTTTCATTCCACATAAATTCCCAGCCTTGTTCTTTAATTAACCTCTCAACCTGGAAAGAAAATAAAATTCAATGAATCACCATAGTGTATTAACATGCCATCTGTGCACAGTACTTGTTGTCTATATCCAGACTGTTGTTTGTCAAATTCATAAGCTTCAACAGTCTGCTGCAAATAGAATAAGGACATTTTATCTATCAAATAAATCCGTAAAGTATAGAAATAGAGCTAAAGCTTCAGAGGCTGGATATTATATCTATATTACAGTATATCTTCACACAACATGTTTCAGTTTAGAGGACAACACTATACTGATTTTAGTCAGGGCTTCCATTTAGCTAAAGGTGCTAAAATTTATAGTCTTGATTTCCTAGCTGTTTAAAGCTTTATCACAGCTGAGAAATTGATCAGCTCAGCTGACCAGGTATTGTAGCCTTATTCTTACTTAATAAAATCTGTTGCCATTTTATGAATATTAGCTCATCATTTAATACAATAAACAGTGTAATTTGCGTATGACAATTTATTCTAAACAAATAGCACATATTTAAAAATAATATATTTTGTGGCAAGCAGCATGTTAGAAGAGTTGTTTTTATTGCACAGAGAGGTGAAGGCCATCTTAACACAATTCTTGCCATTTGTACTTTCTAAAACTTCAAACCCTACCTCAGTGGTCGAATTCAAATATGTGAACAACTGGTTCTCTGTCTGGATGCTGCTTCCGGAAGTCTGTTCTGGGCCTGGGCAACAAATAATTAGCTACTGGTTCTGCTGAACTGGTACGAACTGGCTGAATCCCACCACTGCCCTACCTCCTATTAAACTAAAACCTGATTCAGTTTAAACTTATAAACATATTAAATTGATTGTAATTAAAAATATGGCAATATTCCCTATTTTTGAGCTATCCTGTCCGACAAAGATGAAAACATAGAATATATTCTATGTATTCAATGTATTCTAAACATATAAAGCAATTAAAGCTATGAGAAAAGAATTAAATACGGTGTTTTGTGTGTGCCTTATGTCATATATATAAAATTTATATTTAATTCTTTATAATTAAATTTATAATTATATTTTAATTTTTTTCTCATAGCTTTCATTGCTTTGGAGATAACAACCTTGATTGGCTTTCAAATGAAATTTGTTTGTACTTAAGTCAATCTGATATTTTCATTGAAATTATAAGAAAATCTACATTGATTTAAACTTAGAAAACTATTTGAGTATGTGGTACTATTTCATAATTTAAATGAGGAATGGCAGTTTGAATGAACCTTTGGATAAAATAAAACTCCAAGCAAAAAACAAAAATGTTAGATTTCAGGCCAATTTTTAACAAGCAGCATGATATATATAATTAAATATATATCATCCTAAGATTTTTTAGGTCAGGGGCTGATATATTTTTTTGCCTGAGTTCTGTTCCACTTGATTCAAATCTTCCTTGATAATAGCAAAGCCACTGATCTCTCCCACTGTGAGAGAAACAAGTTGATTTGCAATAAATCAATAAAGGCAATAAATTGAAGAAAAAGCTCCTACATTTCGATGCAGTATTTGCAGTTTGTGGCAATTGCCTCATTCTAATTTAAGGGGCCTCAACTCTGCTAATATAGGAATCTCAAATGGTATCATATACTGTGCAATAAAAAGAAAAACTAGCAGCAATAACATTAAAGCACAAATGAGATGTTATATTAAAATCTAAAAATACTTTTTTAACAGTCAAAGAAAAGCATCCACCTCTATCAATCCACGACAAAATCTTTCAAAAACCCGCTTCATGTTGCCACCTTTTTCCATGGAGATCACCCTAATGTGATCTTCTTCATTGATCCAGATGAGGAATGTTTTATCATTGTTGTGCCTAGTTGAGAGAGATGCACAATTCATTAGTGTTTTGGTCATAGAAGACTTCAAAACCATCTTCATAGATGCTGGTCCTTTCATTTTACATTTCCCTTTTATTATTTATCATGTTGGAACTTTCATGGTGGCATCAAAAAGAAGGGTTACTCAGGATTTCCAGAGCGCATTTCTCTCTTGACTAGCAACCACACAATTTCAAATTTCCAAAGTTATAAATCCTACTGGTAGCGAACTGCTGCTGCACTAGAACATTTTGAAACAAAGGCAATGTGAGGCTTATGCTGCTATGGGAACTGGAAATGAGAAAACACGGAGGCACTTTTTGACTGGAAGAAGAGGAATCTGTCCCTCAAGTTTAAAACATTATGAAATAGGAAATGATGGGAGATACATCATCTCCATCTAAATTTTCTCTAAACTGATTTCTTTGTTGAATAATACAGGGAAGAACTGGTACAGAAATGGAGGAAATTCTGTGAAATACAGATTTATCAGAAGTGAGGGCCCTACTGCAGGGTATATCATCATCTGAGTTAAAGAAATAGTATGTTGTCGAGAGAAGTGTTTTCTGCATTCTGTCCATTCTCTTTAAAGTAATCAAAGTATTCAAGGCAGCACAAAACTAAGCCACTGGGTCAGTGTTTCTCAGGGTTGACAACCTTAAATGTGCAGACTTCAAATCCCAGAACTCCCAGAATATGGCTCAGGAATCCTGGGTATTTATATCCACACATCTAAAAGTTGCCAAAATTAAGAAACCCTGTACTAGATAATGCCTAAAACCTTCTCTGAAAAGTTGTTCCTTCTTTACTAGAGAGTAATATTAATTTTGCACAAGGAAATTACAGTTGCTCTCTAAAAGAGATCCTTTAATGGCAATAGCAAGAAGTATTGTCAGAGTATTGGGGTGCCGTCAGCTTGGACGAATACAGGAACTTTTTTATAGCAGGAGTGCTAGAATAATTATGTAATATGAAAAGAGATGAGCACAAGCCTTCTAGGTATTAATATTATTTGTGATAGGATGAGTAGCACACATTAGAGAATAAGAATTAAAGTAATGGAGAATATCATGTAACCATGCAAGAAAAATCAATTTAAGGGGGGAACATTTGTTTATTATGTTTATCTTGAAGATGTTTTAAAACTTGAAGCAGACAAGTAAAGGCATTCCTCTGAAAATAATAAAATAGAGGCTGGATATTTTTTCCATTCTTTTCTTTGAAAATATTCCTATTTCATTCTAGCAAGAAATTGCAATACTGTTAAGATTTCTAATTCAAAGTCCAAAGTTGCATTCTCAATGGCTGAAGATGATTTATAAGCTGGCACCTTTGAGACTTGGATTGTTTTCTCCCTGCCTGTTCTGCCCACACACTCTGACATCCCGCCTGCTTTAGCAGCACTTTAGTGTCAGTTGACTTCACACATGATCTGCTTCTTGCTGCTAGCTAGTCTTGTTACAGAAGGTTGGTATACAAATTTCTTTGGCATTCCCTGACAGTGCTCAGAACATTGTAAGGCAATATATATATATATATATATATATATATATATATATATATATATATATATATCTTAAATTATCTTTCCAGTGCAGCTGGGACTAATTAATTTATTACATTGTTGAGTTATACCCAGCTTTTGGGGCATTTGGGGCAGCTTAAAATTTTAGAAACAAAACTAGAACATAAGAAGTTTAAAAAATAAATTGAAACTAACAGTAAATAAATACTTAAACCATGTAACAATCATTTGAAGAAAATGATGTGTCTTGGCAGGTTTTCTAAATATTGGGGCAGTGGGCAAATGTCAAGCCTGGGAGTAACAGGATTAAAGGAAACTTTTGACAGTAGCAGCATCTTCAAAAGAATCTCTTTGGCAGCTCTTAACAATAAGACAGTTTTGCACAGTGCTTTTTTTCTAAAAAAAAAAAAAAAAGGTGCCAGAACTCACACATGTCATACAATCCGCCTTGCCTACCACCCTACAAGGTTCCATCCAAAAAAGGTGCTGGAATTCCGTTCTGGGTGTTCTATGAGAAAAGAAAGCCCTGGCTTTGCAGCATATGAAGTAGAAATTTGGATAGTCAGATCCTAAGTTGCTTAAGGCTTAAAAGATCAATCAATATAAATACATTAACAAAGGCTAGTAAACATTTGGTGAGAGCCAGCTTGTTGTAGCAATTCAGGCATTAGGCTAGAAACTGAGAGACCATGAGTTTTCATCCCAGCCTAGGTACAAAGCCAGCTGGAGTCACTTTCTCTTAGCCCTAGGAAGGTGGCAATGGCAAGCCACTTCTGAAAAACCTTGCCAAGAAAATTGCAGGGACTTGTGCAAGCAGTCTCTAAGAATTGGACACAATTGAACAAAAGGGAAAAAACAGTTGGCCAACTAATGAAATTGTTTTGTGCTAGCATCATATGAATTTTGTACCTTGCATGTTGTACAGTGTAGCAGAAGGTCCCTCACATTCTATACTTGTATATCTATACAATTTATTTTTATTTTAAAGACAAAAATGTTTGTCCATGTTATAAACAATAACCGTGGGCAGCTCAAAGTGAGATCAGTAAAATAGAAAAAGTAAAACAACATTAGACTAACTTCAAAGCTATACCCTATGGCGTAGTGCAAGTTATCTTCAGCGGACCACACTGCCATAACTATGACATGGATCACCATCACCAGTTCTTACTGGTTAAGAAAAAACAGCCTAGTGCAATAGAAGTGACTGCACAAAGGTGGTTCTTAGCTTCATAGGTGCCACTGGCAAACATAGTAAGAGTTTAACAGAAAATAGCAGCCCTATCCAAAACTGCAGGAACAATATCTAAGTCCAGTTTTTATCAACCAACAACACTTATATTTGTCTGGATTTAATTTCAGACTGATTTATCATATACCCCTTTATCAGGATTAGGCAATGTGAAGTAAATAATGAGCAATAGGGCTAGGAGACATTAGCATAAGGTTCCCTCTACAGTTTCATGAAGTTGTTGAATAACATTTTCCCAGCACTACCTTCTAGACCAGGGGTAGCATAGCTGACTCAGGAATTCTGGGAGTTGAAATCCACGAGCCATAAAAGAGCCAAAGTTGCCTACCCCTGTTCTAGACACAGCCTGATAGGTTGACTAGACTATGTTAAAATGGCTCAATCTCATCAGACAACCCAGGAAGATATTATGGCTGATGGTACTAAAAATAACCAGAGGCCTGGGAAAATTAGTAGAGTTGCACTCCCTCACCCCATTTTTAACATAGGAAGTCTATAAATACCAAACAATTTCAATACAAGATCCTAGCCTGACTAAAGTGAATCCAGAAAGTCAATATTATTTGGTATTTCTCAGACACATCTGGAGCTATGAGGACATCATCTTATAATCATTTTTCCAGAAAAGGAGCATTTTATCTACTCCCAGGTTAATAAGGCTTTTCTCCAATAAAAGTTTTCTTATTGCCTTTTTAGGCAGAGAGAACACATCCCTCAAAGAAGAAATATTGATCACATATCTTAATCATGGGACCGGTCCCATCCTGATCAATTTAATTTCCAAAAAGGGTGAGAGGAAAATGAAGAATTGATAGAAATCTTCTCACTAAATATCTGTCTACCTTCTTTGGAAGGATAAGCAAAACCATTAATTGCTAAATTTACATTCTGTGATCTGTCCCAGTTTGAAATCCAAGACAGGATAGAGCCAACTGATTTTACCCGAGGGAAATTGTTTATGAGCAGCACTGACCTGCTTGCTTTCTTTATCATTTTAGCAGAGATACTGAACTATATTGAACAACCATGCCATCCAGCAACAGGGCCAGAAAAATAAGCAATCTTGATTGCTCTATTCTAATATAATAAAAGTGGTCTTTAGTAAGCCGGGGATAATTTAGCTCATTAAGAGGAAAGAAAGTTTCAGAACAATCATGGAAATCATCCAGTTATCACAAGGGTATCAAATGTTCTTATTAGCAAACAATGTAGAAAATTCTTCAAGAACATTGAGGAAACCGTATGTTTCCATTAGGGCCCTGAACAGCAGCATTATAACTAGTCTCCAATTTGCAGAGGTTTATATTGGTTGTCAGTGTTATTGGTGCATGAAGCTGAACCAACAGGGTTCTTCTACCATCAAATCATCAGTTCTTTCCAAATAGAAAATCCAGTTTAATATATTTTGCTGCATTTGTGGAACAAGATACCGGTCCATAACTCAATGAAGTCCTTTCATTTTTGTTTATTAGTTTATAATGTAAAATATAAAAATACAAAAGAAAATAGTAGGAAAATAAGGGAGGGAGAAGGGAAGGGGAAAGTATAGGGCAAAGGGAAAAGAAAGAAAGAAAGAAAAGGCATTGACTTCTGACACCCTTTTGTGCAGTAGCATAAGATGGGAACTCCTCACCATGTCCTGGCTAGCTAAATGTGTCAAATACATGACTCAGAACTGGTGAACTGACCTGTAGAGATGTTATTTCTCTATAGAGAAAGGAGTAGAACAGGATTACTCTTTTTCTCCACTGACTACTGTAGTCTGAATCTGCTGTATCACAAGCTATATAGTGCAGCACCTTCATACAATTGCAAAAAAAAAAAAAGGGGGGGGGATGCAGTGCTGCTGACATAGCTATTTTATCCTACAGATTTAGAATACATGGCCACAGGGATGAAAATATACCCTGCTCAATACCTTAGGTACAGTATTTCAGTGCAAAAGTTGCCAACAAATTCTAATTTGAATGTGACCGAACAAGATAATTGTTCAATATATGAAGAACATTCATATTCCTTATATTTAATTATTCTAAGTTACTATACAAAATAATATACCATCATGCTTAATTTGTGTTCTTAGACCTGAATTTGCCAATTTTCAGAGTGGAGCACAGCAGACAGCCACCCAGAGACCAAATCCTGACCTCAGTTTGAAAAGGGTTGCAGATTCCCAGCAGTGCATGACTAGAATGTGGGAAAGGGCTATTTGATTGTAGCTATGACCGAACTACGCAGGGAGGGAGGGGGAGAGAAAATGGATAGATATGTAAGACAATACCACAGATAGAAGTTATGATTCTAGTTTGAAAAGTCTGATTAGATATACTGGAAGATGTTTGACCATGATTAACTTGTGTGTTCTCTTTCTCTTCAGATAATGAGGCAGTGCTCTATGCATGATATTTTGCTGTTCTCCTTAATTTCACCCTCGAAAGAAGACTTTGTTTTATTTTTAAAAACAGTGCTCCCTTACAAAGGGCCTCGGTTAAATGGCAGCAGCTTCTGCAAAAGTAAGAGTTCAATGCTGAGATTGAAGGAAGGATTGACAGGCAGGGCTTATTCCCAACTACTGTATATGATAGTCACAGGATGAGTTTGAGCAAGCTGCGAGTGACAGCAAGTGCTTTTTAGGAATGCTTTCATTGTCCAGAAACACTTAGCTTCCTCATGTGTTTCTTGGCAGACAAGTGTGCACTTATGTGTAACAAACAAATTACACATCTCGGTTCAAACTTTATATAAAGCATAACTGGAAAAAAAAACAATTTAATAAACCAATGAAAAACGAATAATGTTTTTCAATGTAAAGCAATCCATATTTTAATAAGATGGATTTGCTCGTCGTACTAAGCCAAAAATAACAAACTCCATTATGGCCTAATATTCCATAATGGTCAGTATTTTTACAATTTGAACTTAGATGGAAGCATCACAGAGTTTGGTGGATATTCTCAGGTCACTTACCAGTCAGCCCTCTTTCATAGTTCATGTAGTTTTTTAGTACAAAAGTTTTACATTAAAACACAATGAAAATGTGCTAAATAGAGTATAGAAAGGACTTGATAATTCAAGAACTGCAACACATACCCTATACTTTACGTGTTGTTATATTCAAACTTAGATCTAATTGATAAGAGACTCAAAGAGAAATCAGTAAACAGAAGTATTCAAGTATAAAAAGAAATGAAATTAATATTCTCAGATTAATATCCATTCTAAAATACCAAACATGTTTAATTTTGATTTTTTATTCTATAATAGAAATAATGTATTACAGGTATTCACATTTATCAAAAGTTCCTTCAGAATATATAACATCCTGATAAATAAATTCTTAGTATGTCTTTAAAAAAAGGAAGTGGTCCACTAATTCAATGCTTTTCAGCTTTAGCAACTAAAATGTGTGGACTTCAACTCTCAGAATAGTCAGCATGCTGAGGTTTAAAAACTCTGTACTAGCTAATAATATTTGATTCTGATCATCTAAATGTCTTTCTTCTTTGACTTTCCTCTATTTATTAATAAATCACCGGGTTTTTGTTGTATGGAATTTCTAAAATAAAATCAACATTTTAATTTAAATAACTCATACCTCCATAAGTGTTCTTGAGCAACATGCATTTGCAATTTCCTTAAAGACAAGACTGGTAATATCCTTTCTACTGATATTGGTAGAAAGTTTTTTACATTGAGAAATAAGAAAGTATAAAATAGTTCGCCTGGTCAAAAAATTTCAAAACATTGTTTATCACTGTTTTATTAAAGAAAACAATTTTACCTTTATAAAGCAAAAAGGAAAGATAATGACATTCCTTTGGCATCTATGTACATATATAGTCTCTCACACACATGCATTAGTGCAAGCAAGGTATTGAAATCATGCCTCAGAATATATCTACAGACTTTATTAGCTATTTCTTGACAATTAAGAATAGAAACAAAAGGTCCAGATCCCTAGTCTTTTTCTACTTTTTTTGTTATTGTTGCATCTTTGATCACAGATGTTTTAATTTTTTTAAAAAAAATAGGCCCAGGACCATAGCCAACCCTAAAAACATCCTTTTTGATGGTCCTTGGTGTTCTCTTTGACCATGATTGATGAAAATTCAAAGTAGTTTCCTGCCATATTGAGGTGAGAAAGAATGAGACATTGTAATGTAAGCTCTGGAATATCATCCATTCAAAACAAAACAACATTCCTGAATTCTGCCTTCTTATACCACCCACCCAAATTTCTGGCAGCTACTCAAAAATCACTCATGGCCACCAAAATATTGCCCACTGCAAGCTTAAAGATTATGTAATGGAGGAAGAGATTGTGTATGCCAAGCATGTGCTCAGAATTAGGAATAGTAGCAACTGAGTTAGAAACTAATATAATTATTTGTTCACATTGAAAACGTGCACATCTCACATTTCGTACCATATTCCTCTGGCATCTGGCCAGTCACGGGCCATTCCAGCACACGTTAACAAAGGGGAAACTGGCTTATCAAATAGGAAATGGTCCTGGAGATCAGCATAATTTAAGGCAAAGGGAAAGAAAAAAAGAAAAAAGTTGAATTATAGTGGTGAATCAGTTCACAGAGGTGCAAAGTGCATAAAAAAGATACTTATTTTTTTTCTCCCTGGAAATAAAAGACTGTGTCTCCAATATAAATGAATATGTTGTTAATTTCATGTAGTTTTAAGATTTTGTAAATAATTGGAAACATGCTAAGAAAGAAAAAAAACTATTAAAGTATTAGAGTTAAATTAAAATTAAATTATGCTTAATACATTTAAATTCAATTTAGAGTTAAATTAATTAACTTTAAGGAATCTTAAAATAAGATTTGAATCACACCTACTGCTTTTACATAAATTAGTTAATCAATACCAACAAATAAGATTTTTTTTTGACACGAGGCTAATTAAAATAATGATAGAAATAAAAAAAAACTTATTCTAACCTTTTTATATTGCTTTTGCTGATTAATTCTGTTCTTCCTTTCTGGTTAATCCTCAGACACAACTCAGTTTTGTTTTATGTTAACTTACAAGTCCATTCATTAACATATTACCTAAATATTCCTAGGATTGCAGTGTATTTGCAATTTATTTTTACATTTATTTTTAACCCTCATTCTACCCAGCCCCTCTCATAAATATATTTCAATTTTTCAATTCACATTTTTTAAATCAATGGATTATGAATACTTACATACTTTGTAAAGTTATTTGAGGGTATGATATTATTTCTAGAATTCCACAAGTAAAAGAGTTCTGCTAGTGTGTATATGTTCGTGTGTGTTTAATATTGCTTGGATCTTGTCAGAATGCATAATTTGCTTATATTGTGATAAGGGGGAAGAGAAATAAATTCCAGCTGGAAAATGTTGATTAGTTGATATTCAACAGGTAAGGAATACTTTGTTATGTTCTAGTGTAGTGAAGAAAATAAATCTAGCCCACAGAATGGAGACTGCACCCTTTTTTCTCCTGATCTTTTGGATATGACCAGGGTGAACATCACCTCCACTCTTTGTCTAATCCTATCAGACCCAAATTAATCCTCCCTGCCCCGGATTAACTCTCTAATCTAATCAGCCTAACCAACCTTGGCTGGTCTCAGAAAAAACAAGGAGAATCACTGGAGAGCCTCAAGAAAACTCAGAATTATAAATAAGACTGGGAAACTGAAAAGGGCCTGGAAGAATGCAAGGACAACTACTTCCATGTCCACATAACCATGTCCATATAATCTCCCAGAGCCACTTCAAGAGAGACTCTCCACATTGTTAGTTGTTGCCTTGTTACCTATGTTCAACTCCCAGGTTTGGCATTAAACTTACATCAATTAGCTGTTGTTGCTCCTTTTCAGACATAGTTGTCAGGCTATAATATTTTCCAGCCAGGTCTCGTTTCAGCCCAGATAAAGCAGTGATAACGACGTTCTCAACAGCTCTTCTCTCTGCCCTGGAGCAGGCGGGAGGGAGGCTCAGGCCACGAACACTTCGTCCCGTGCGTACACGGGAGGATAAAACATAACGCTCATCGAACTGTCCTTGGGTAATCTATCCAAAATCAAATAGTTTGCAAATATATTGAGACAGTTGGGAAATATACCTAGGGATACTCAGGATCAGCCCTAGATATTTTGGTGAGCAAGAACCCTAATCCCTATCTCAGCCAGTTATTGGTACCAAGATTACCAATGTTATTACAATGCCTCTAGAAGGAGATCTGCAACATTTCACTCTGAATTTAAAAACATACCCATCCTTAGTTAACTTTTCTTGATGAGAAAATGTAACCATTTGAATTAGCAATTTGAATGCTTCATTTAGTTATTCATCACAAAATTGCTGACTGTTTTATTTCAGCAGTGAACTATCGGGCATCTACAGGACTTAAAACATTCAATATGGAAACGATGATCATTATCAAAGTCCTGCCCTCACTTTTACAGACATTTTGGCGTGTTCTTTGCAGATACCTTGTTTTCTGTTTCACAAAATACAGGGTTACAGGAGAATACACATCCTGACATGAAATAAATGCAGCAGGAATGGACAATCTCCTCTTTAATGGCTACACACACACCTACACACACAATCTAGATCAGTGGTTCTCAACCTGTGGGTCGGGACCCCATTTGGGGTCGAACGACCATTTCACGGGGGTCGCCAGACAAGGCTGTCCACCATTTTTTTCCCCCTTTTCTTTGGCCATGCCCCTAGCACCCAGTGATGTATAAGTGGTTGGGGGTCACCACAACATGGGGAACTGTATTATGGGGTCGCGGCATTAGAAAGGTTGAGAACCACTGATCTAGATGTAATTTTCCTGTTAAATTGTTAACAATGAGGTAACAGAATTCAGAAATTATTAAACAAATATATACTCACCACTAAACACATGGGGACTATTTATTTAATTCATTTAATGTAAATTAAATTAAACTAAAATAAAACAAGTGTAGTTTTCATCTAGACCCATCCACTTTCTGCATTTAAAATGATACAGTACTGGTATTCTAAAGTACTAATATGCTAAAGAGAAATCTGACAGCACAGAATAAAAATAGATATTACCCAATTAAAATCTGGAATACCAATATTATTTGTAACTCAGGACAAAAGCCCTGGACATGGGTATGGAGAAATCTAGCTTTGGATTTGAAAATAAGGAAATAAATCTGTGAAATAATGCAGGTATAATCTAAGAGAATTCCAGTCAGAAATTTAGGAGATTTTTTTTTTTTCATATCAAACCAAACCTGGGAAAAGTGTGTAATCATCCAGAATAAAGGTATTGTATATACTAGTGGTGGTGAACCTATGGCACGGGTGCCAAAGGAGGCACTCAGAGCCCTCTCTGGGGGCACACGTGCCATTGCCCCAGTCCTAGGCCTTCAGCTTGGTTTTATAAAATCTTTTCACTTTAGGCCTCCTCCGTCGTGTGCAAAAAAAAAAAAAAAGGTTCAATCAATCAGTCAATTTCAACTTCTCGTGGGAAAAAAAATCTTACAAAGTTGGAATTGATTGATTGAACTTTTTAGTTCCACCCAGTCTGCCATTACCACCGCAGCCACACTCACCCAATGGGCCACACCCAACCAATGGGCCACACCTACCCGGCACCCAACGATGCATAAGTGGGTTTTGGGCACTCAGTCTCTAAAAGGTTCGCCATCACTGGTATATACTTTTGATAACTGCAGAATTGAATGTCATATTTCCCATATGAATTACTTATCATCCCAGAGCAGCTTTGGAGCACATAGGGGGATAAAAACACACAGTGCAGATACATGTGGGTTATACTGTTTGCAGAGCTAAGAAGACACTTACTGAGTATCCTATAGTTGCTTTAAGGTAGCACACATTTTGGTTAGTTTGTGAAGGGAGGTAGTTTTATCTGGTTTGGCTTGTATGTTTCACTTAGTCGTATTCTTCTAGCTGTCATAAACTAATTATTGAGAAGGTAGTACTGAAATACTGTTATCAATCATAATATTCTTTTACTGCTATTATTAAACCAATTTTGTCTTCAGATTTTTTTTATTTAAGACTTAAATTAGGTCCCACCTTTGAAGAATCCAAGTCAGTATGATGCTTCATTAGTTTGGGGTCATATCCATTATGTCTTACTTTGATAACAGGATCAAAAATCTCAGCAAATACCTGTCAAGTCAATAAAATATATGATTTTCTTCAGTTTACTTTATATATTTTTTTTCTCCATGTGCTTTTTTATTTATCATTTATTTTGTAGACTGCTTAATTTTGTTTAGGCTATCTATGCTCATAAATCAGTCTGAAGAATTGCATAAAATTCTCAATAATATAAAACAACCAACGCACATTCTTAACCCTCTTTGAATCCAAGTTGTTTTGAATAATTTTTAACAAATGCCAGTTTTCCTTCCTGAATAAGATCCTCAAGCATATTCATTTCTGGTTTTGTGTGGTAGTGACTGGTCACGGACTTGCAGATTCTCCATACCCCCACAGCTAATTTCACCCTGCCTGGGGACCCTAAATGGGTCTAAGTCGCCCTGGAGAGGCACTGAAAAAAGAAGGGTGCTCTAGCAAATCTGGAATGACGGCGGCTGTTCCGTTTGACTTGGGGAAAACCTTCTAACCCAACAGGAGAAAGGCTGGACATATTGCATCAACCAGCCCAAGCTACTAACAACCAAAGTCCAAAAACACTAACTAGCACGACTGTGAACAGTGTGCTTGAAACTGGGTGAGGAATTTGATCTTCTCTTTTCTATTCTACATTTAATTTCCTGGAAAAGATCCCCAAGAAGCAAAATACCTCCGAAAGGGAAGGAGGGGGATTTCCACCCCACCCTTATACTAACAGAAGCAGCAAATTAATCTTTTTATGGAGGATCAAAATATATGGAAGTGAAATAAACATAAAACCTGAAATTCAAAACTTAAATCTGGACAAATATAAAATTGTTTGAATGGTTAAGACTCTCATTTTAAAGATAATTGTTCATTTTGGAAATTGAAAAACAAATAGCTGCTGACACTTAGTGGTGGATGAAGACTATGACAGCTATGACTTTAATATAAGACTTGGCAAAACCTAAGAAAAGCTAATCTATGTTTGTGATCGTCAAAGTTTTAACAACAAAGAACAGCTGTGATGAAAAAAGACAATAATCTGGGCTGTAAACAAAGAGAGAATTATAAATTTCAGAAAAAAAAATCTTTTTGAACTATTTGGATTACAAATATCTATTTAATTGGGACTCTAAAGATATTTGCAGCAAAAGAAAGGAAGAGAAAAACTCAAATTCTTGGCCATCATGGATCAGAGACATGTAGAAAGAGCATATCAAGAAAACATAAATACTTCACAGGAGGAGATACATAATATACTGCAACTAATTCAAATAACAATGACTTTAAACCAAAAAGAAATCTAAAATAATTATGAAAATATAAATCAAACTATTTCTAAGTTAACTCTACAACAACAAAAAAATTCCCAGAAAACAACAACAGAGAAGGAGCAGATAAAACAGATAAATGGATATAGAATTGAGAATGGAGACTTAAAGATGGAACTTAACAAAACAAGGAAACATAATTTAATCCTAGTGAAAAAAAAATTCACAGGAATTGGAAAAAATAACTTATCCCTTAAGATACAAAATAAATCTGAGGACAAGAAAACAGATTGGATAAAATGGACTGTAGAGATGTCAGGAACATCAGAGAGAAAAGAAATGATAAGAGAAGCAGAGAGAAAGAAAAAGAAAAGTGTTAATATCACTTTACAATGCCTTGGTAAGGCCACACTTGGAATACTGCATCCAGTTTTGGTCACCACGATGTAAAAAAGATGTTGAGACTTTAGAAAGAGTACAGAGAAGGGCAACAAAGATGATTAGGGGACTGGAGGCTAAAGCATATAAGGAACGGCTGCTGGAATTGAGTATGTCTAGTTTAACGAAGAGAAGGATGAGGGGGGACATAATAGCAGTGTTCCAATATCTGGACGTTTTTAAGAAGAGACTGGACAGCCATTTGTCCAAAATGGTATAGGGTTTCCTGCCTGAACAGGGGGTTGGATTAGATGACCTCCAAGGTCCCTTCCAACTTTATTATTATTATTATTATTATTATTATTATTATTATTATTATTATTATTATTATCATCATCATTAACATCATCATCATCATCATCTCAGGGGCTGCCACAAAGAAGAGGGAGTCAAGCTATTTTCCAAAGCGCCTGAAGGCAGGACAAGAAGCAATGAATGGAAACTAATCAAGGAGAGAAGCAACCTAGAATTAAGGAGAAACTTCCTGACAGTTAGAACAATTAACCAGTGGAACAACCTGCCTCCAGAAGCGGTGAATGCTCCAACACTGGAAGTTTTTAAGAAGAGACTGGACAGCCATTTGTCCGAAATGGTATAGGGTTTCCTGCCTGAGCAGGGGGTTGGACTAGATGACCTCCAAGGTCCCTTCCAACTTTACTATTACTATTATTATTATTATTATTATTATTATTATTATTATTATTATTACTACTACTACTACTACTACTACTATTATTATTATTGTTATTAAAAACATTTCAACAAACATGAAAAGGTAGAAGCCCTGTACAAAGACATTTCACTTGATTTACTTTTTATATCTACAGCAACATTTACGAACATACGGAAAACCTTTTTGATTCAGCTAAATAAATTGATTAAGAAAGATACTGGGCAAAGGAAAAAGACTAAAGTGGAAACCAAGAAAATAGATGATGGGACTTACCAGAGAGACTATTTAAAAAAGAAACATTTGTTTGAATACGGTTAAAGAAATAGAAAAGTTTTGGAATATATATGTCATTCTAAGAGGGATGAATTCCCTAAATAATATAGCATCCTTTTTTCCCTTTTTTTCTCTTTCTTGATATAAGTAATATAAAAAAGTTGAAATGACTTAGATAAAGGAAATGTTTTAGATACTTAAATGTGATTGAATTTAAGAAAATTATAATATATAAAAATGTTTTGAATAAGAGTTAATGGACTAGATACTAGATGTATTAAATGGAATGTTTAAAGATTAAACATTTTTAATTACAGTTAAAAATAAGAAATTTAGGAAATAAATATATATTAGCTTAGGAGGGATATATATTTTAAGTAGTATGTTATTTTTTTATGTTTCTTTACTCTTGCTCTCCTTTCTTTCTTTTTTTCATTGCTTTATCTATTCCTTAAGAAATGTAAAAGTGTGAGATGGTTCATATGGAAAAATAGAGTTAAATTTTTAAATGTAATTAATTTTTGAGAAAATCTGAACCAGTAAGAATACCTAGAATTTGGACTGTAACAGGATCTATGATAAAGGACTGTAATAGGATCTATGATAAGGCAACCAGAATGATTGGATAGAAAATGATGTGATTATTTTTAGGAATATTGGGTAAAATAAGATAAGATAAGATAAGATAACCTTTATTGTCATTTTTATTCTGTGGGCACAATGGCACACATCAAAAATGAAATGTAGTTGCCCACTCTCAAAGTGAAACATATACATGACACACACCTAAACATACTATGAACAACATATGTATAGACCCACATCCCTACATATACGTAGCAAATAAATATTAAATATTGTCCATCTTGAATATATAACGGAAGGAGGACGTTTGAGAGTTCACAAGGTTAATGCTGTATGAGATGAAACTCTGGCTGAATCTGGATGTTCTGCTTCGGATACCACGAAGCCTCCTCCCAGAAGGTAACAAGGAAAACAGGTCGTGAAGAGGATGTGTAGTGTCCCAGATAATCTTATAGACCCTGCTCAAGCAGCGCTTCTGTGCTATGTCCTGGATGGGAGGGAGAGAACTGCCAGTGATCTTTTCGGCCATTCTCACCACTCTCTGCACCATCTTCCTGTCTGAAGCAGTGATGCCTCCAAACCAGACTGTGATGCTGTATGACAGGATACTCTCGATTGCCCCCCTGTAGAAAGTGGTCAGGACAGGGGAAGGAAGATGGGCTTTTCTCATGCGGCGCAGAAAATGCAGGCATTGCTGTGACTGCTTCACTAGTTTCTCACTGTTGAGCGACCAAGTCAGCCTACTCGTTAGCTGCACACCCAGGAATTTGATGCTGGTAACCGTCTCCACAGGTGAATCATTTATGCACAGAGAAGTGTGGCTATGCCTGCCTTTTCTGAAATCAACAATGATCTCTTTGGTTTTTCCGGTATTTAAAACTAGACTGTTTTCCTTACACTAGTTCACCAACCCTTCAGCCTTCTTGCAATAAACTTCCACCTTGTCATCCTGAATAAGGCCCACTACTGTTGTATCATCTGCAAACTTCACAATATGGTTGGTGGCAAACCTAGCACAACAGTCATGGGTCAACAGGGTGAACAGCAGCAGACTTAAGACACAGCCCTGAGGAGAACCTGTGCTCAAGAAAATGGTATTAGAGGTATTTGTTCCAACTTGCACATATCGGGGCCTGTTGGTAAGAAAATCAAGAATCCAGTTGCACAAAAGAGTGTTTAAGCCTAAAAGGCCCAGTTTGTCTACTAGATGCTGGGGAATGATTGTGTTAAACACCGAACTGAAGTCGAGAAACAGCAAACACCCATGAGTATTTCTTTCCTCTAATTGCTTCAGGCTCAGATGGAGAACGGAAGAAATAGCATCCTCCGTAGAGAGATTTGGTCAGTAGGCAAACTGAAGCAGGTCAAAAGCTGGCGGGAGGCTAGATACAATCGTGTCCTTTATCAGCTTCTCAAAGCATTTCATGATGGTGGATGTCAGTGCAACCGGACGGTAATCATTGAGGTCTGCAATTGTGGACTTTTTTGGCACTGGCAAGATGATGGCCATCTTAAAACATGATGGGACCACTGCCTGCTGCAATGAGAGGTTGAAAATATCTGTGAGAACACAAGCCAGCTCCCCTGCGCATTCCCTAAGGACACGTCCAGGGATGTTATCTGGGCCTACTGCTTTCCGAATGTTAACTGTCTGCAGTGTTTTCCGGACAGAGGTGACATCAAAGCTTGGCATTTGCTCATCAGGATGGGGCACTGCTTTCCTAGCAGGCGTGCTATTTGATAACAATTAAATATATATTTAATTGTTATCTATCAAAACAATAAGAATTGTATTAACTCAATGTTTGCAAAAGAGGATATTTTGGGAAAAGAGGAAATCAACAAAAACCATTATGTGGATTATGGATTATAGAAATCAATTGTTAATGATTGTTTTACAAATGTAACACTGTTCAACAATTATTAAGTGATTTATGTTTTTTTAAAAAATCAATAAAATATATTACAAAAAAAAAGATCCTCAAGCATATTATGGTATTCAGCTCCAGGAATTCCACAATATATTGATTAGCTAGTCTCATTTTAATTTGGCTTCAAGCATTTTGGGAAAAGAAAGCTTTGACCACCCTGGTAGGTAATTGATGCAGTGTCCTAGACGTGGGGATAGGGGAAAATTCTTGGGTGGTTTTACTTTGAAGTCTGAATGCTGTATTGAACCATGACTATCTTCTAGATCAGGGGTCACCAACCTTTTAAGCACCAGGGGCCGGTTCTGTGGAGAGAAGCTTTTCTACGGACCAGAGGGCTTGGTTTCACATGCTGCCTCCATCCTGGGGATGGGACGTCACTTGTTCGCACGGCCCAGTTTCTGGCCTGCTGCAGCCCATGCTGATCCAGAGACCAGAGTTTGGGGACCCCTGTTCTAGATCAATGTTTCTAAAAATATGGTCCTAGGACCTCTGGGAATCTGGAGAAAAAAGTTTAAGAAATGCTTTTCGTATTCCTTAACTAAAATATCACAGAATATATTTAAATAGAAAGGAAGATATTTGCTAAACAGGATTCCAAGATTGTTCTTAGAACTGCTAAACAAAAGCAAAAACCAAAAGACCCATTTTCACATTTTAAGAGTGTTCGCTATGGTTACTTTTTTCAAGTTTAATAAGAAATAAATGAAAAAGGGCAGGCACAATGGGCTGTAACGTGCCAGAAAAAAGTTTATTGTTTAATAAACTTCCCAGGCACTTTGAGACCCCTCTTTCTTCAATTGCATTGATTTAATAAGGAGAAAAAATAGAGGAACACTCATAGCAGGTTTGTCACCTTTCCTAGTCTCTATAAAGCTTTGGAAACATTTGCTTTGAAAATCTATAGGAATTATTTATTTTTTCCTGTTTCTGGGGAGCAATGCAAGCTCTGCTATGGAGCTTTTGGCAAAGAGAAGTTATATCTGATCACGCTGATATATACTTCAGGCGAACCCAGGAGACACTGGGTTGCCTCTGCTTATTTTATTCTGCCAAACAGAAAAATGTCGGATTCTGTTATTATATGAAGATAATAAATAAAATAAGAATCTACTGTTCTTATTCTGGACCCATAAAAGTAATGTATAAATATTTTAAGAGGATTCTTTATTAAAAATACATATTTTTTTTACATCTAGGTTTTGTGATGCCTCCTCCTGTCTCTTGTTAAACTAAGTATATTGATACATGCTTGTATTATCCAGGTGTTGAAATCTCAGCTTTTGTTTTGGGCATTGGTTGTTCATTATTTAATATTCTAACTGTTTATAGAAAATGTATAATATATATGTTAACTGTTTACATAGCTGATCTTTCATGTGAGGGCAGCTGGATACTTTTACAACAGACTTTTACTTCACTTCATTTCATTGACAAGGTGGCTCCATTTTAAGCTGAGCAGACAAGTCAGCTACTGGAAGCCAATACATGTTGCCTTCTATGCTGTAATTTATTATCCACAACATAGTTATACAAAGTATGTCTTTTATGCTGTTCTCTAATTTCACCCAGAGAGATTTAAAAAAAACAACAACCCTGAAAACTCCTCCAAAGACAAAAATCAAATACCAAGATTATTTCCATGGCTTGAATTTTGTACTGACCTCCGTGTCTTCCTGAAAGCCTGCCTACGTGCGATGCATTGATCATTTTCTAATGTTTTTATGAAATAAATGAAGACATTGAAAGAGACCCTGTTATATGATACAAACTGTTTCACCTCATAGGATTCTTCATCTCCTGCGACCATGCCCACTGTTTTAATAAAAGGGTGTCCAGGATTATCAACACCAGTTTGAATGCACTGATCCAGTGTGTAGCCACCTGGAGTCATCTTGTCCCTCAGTTTGGCATAGATTGTTGGAGTGAGGCACTCAGCCATGCAGTTGTTATGTTTACGAAGATCAGGGTAGTCTGCACTGGGTGAAAAGAAATGCAAAGCTTTTGTAGTGAGCAGGAAATGCTTGTTTCTGCTTATCACTTCATAGAAACTGTGGCATAAGCATTCAATCAGCACATTACTATTCTACAAGTCTTGGATGCTTTTAAGAATGAAAAACAGTCTGTATAAATATTTTCCAATGAATTTGGTAGTTTGAGAAAAACAGCAGAAGACTTATAACTCAGATGGGCATTTATGATTTGTCAAAGAAACAAACCTAACAGTGTGAATAGGCTGGTTTCCAACTGAAACTGCAGTTAGTTTCAGTCAAGAATGGCAGTACCTGGGCAGATGAAAAGGAGAAAAATATCTTTAAAATACATATTTGTGTGTTTCTCTTTCACTTCCAGAACAAGATGAATGAACCAAAGAAATAACTGAAATGAATAAGTGTAGTTTTATTATGTCTGTTTACATTTTATTTCTTTATGACATTTTCATCGTATCTTTCTTCTAGGGATACAAGGCAGCTTTACATGGCTTTTCCCCTGCCAAATTTTATCTTCACAACGTGAATATAAATCATAGCAGCTGACTCAGAAAGATCCAATGAACCTTGTGGCTGAATGAGATTAAGACCTGGGTTTCCCCAGATCTAACCCAACCAGAATATTTTGTATTCTAATATTGAAAATCAGATTTTAACAGAATAGGTTGCCTAATTACTGTATGCCAACTAATTATGAATTAATTCAGTGAAAATAGACCATTTAGCCACTCTCAATCTTACCTATCTCATATGGTTATTGTAGAGATTAAATAAATAGATATCACTTGGAGAAAAATAGGTATCAGTGGAAATTAATAATAATATTTAATAATAATAATTAATATTATTAATAATATTTCCTTTGTATCCTGGGAAATATTTTCTCTTCCTCCTAGATTTCTATGCCAATTGTCAAATGTTTCAGTCATTGGTATATGGGTTTTTGTTTTTTAAAAAAATAAACTTTAAAACTTTTCAGACTCTTTTATTATGGATAACCCTCCCTTACCTGCTTAGAGAATGTTCAACGAGATTTTAAGATTTTCAAACCAATATATTTTCAAGTATATGAATCAAATTATTACCTGGGAGGAAATAATTTCTTATGCCCAAAAGATTCAGCTTTCACATTTTGCTGATTTAAAAAGTATCCAGTAGCCATAGCTCCAGTACTGACTGTTGCAACTAAAACAGCAGTTCTTCGACCAACCAGGAGACGTGCAAATGTATTAGCCATTGTTTTTCACCTAATCTTTTTGAAAGATGCCCACTGTCAAAAAAGTGAAAACCAGACAGATCAGAAGTACATATATACTCAGTAGACTAAACACAGCACAATATTCATCCAGTCAAACTGCATCCTTTGCAGGATTCTCCTTTCATGGCAATCAATAATTCAGAAGAATAGGGCAGTGGAAAATCTGAAAGTAACTGGAATATGTTGTATCTACTTTGAATATAATGAAATCATCAGTCTTACCGTAATGCAGCAGATTTTCAGTTTGATGAAAGAAGTGTAAGTTGTGAATTATATCATTTGTTATAAATCAGGTATTTCTTCCAAGGATCAGGAGAAGTACTTCTAAAGTTTTCTACCTCATGTACCAAAATAGCTTTGTGGGTTTTGATACAAAACACATTGATATGATGTAACAGAAGAATAATGTCAGTTGCTGCTCCGCCACAGATAGCACAACTTTTTGGCTGGCTCTAAATAATAGCCCATTCAACTTCCTGACTTTTCCTACTGAATTATTATCTGGAGCTGAACTAGGAGCGGCTAGTCTGCTCTCACCATCAGTATCTTCTTTATGGAATGGCTTTAGAGGATTTCTGCTCAGTTTCAAAGCTAGAAGGTTATAAGATTCCATGGGTTTTATAAAAGGTAATGGTAAATGTTTCCCCTGTACAGTTGTGCGACTCAAGGGGGCAGTGCTCATATCTGTTTCTTAGCTGAGAGAACCAGCATTGTCCAAAGACATTTCCATGGTTATGTGACCACATGACTATATGCCAAAGTGCAAGGAACACTGTTATCTTCTCACTAAAGTGGTACCTATTTATTTACTCACATTTGCATGCTTTCAAACTGCTACATGAGCAGGACCTGAGGACAGTAATGGGAACTCACCCCTTGCACAATGCTCAGGTTTCAAACCTGGGCTGTCAGCTGACAAGTTGCGCTTTTAACCACTGAACCATTGCGTCCCTTTATGGGTTTTATAGAGGTCTATATATTCTATTATTGTTTAAAGTCAGTGGGTGAAACCCACCGGAGTTGGTATTGAATGCTATAATATACTGACCATGCTTCCTCTATTCTGCCTTTATCAGAGTCAACTAATGGACCATTTCTACATGGATTGTTCAGGGAGTGAATCTGAATGCTCAAAAGATGGAAATACTCTAGATTAGCAGCTTTCAGGTCCAATTAAGACATGTGTGTTCCACCTGTGCAGATCATTTCTCCAAACAACCCATACAATTTTTTGTTTAAAACCAGGTATGAAACTGGCAATGATTGCCACTCAGAAACTTCAAATATTCCAGAATATAGTAGCACAAGCTATTAATGCACAAATGGTAATAATAATTTTAAAAATCCCTAAGCACTCAGGGAAACAAGCCTTGCTAAAGAAAAATTGACATGGATTCTGCAGAGATAAATTCTATCTTTCCATAAGGATCTTTTTAAATTGACAATGGTTTGGGATGGTTTGTTCATTTGTTTAATGCTTCAAATTATGATGAGCATATTTTAGAGCTTAATTTCTACAAGTTGCCAGTCTAAAATAGAGAATACTGTTTGAAACCTCCACTGCACTTATAAATTTTTCTTCATGATAAAATAAATAAATTTGTTCCTTACCCTTGAAGAAAAGCTTCCAGTGTTTAATTACATTGAGAGGCAACAATCTAGCATCACAATAAGAGTCTGCTTGAAGGAAGAAAAAAAGGAAGCCACCTTGAACAAATTTTCTTGATCAGAATCATCAAATTAATGTTGTTTGTCCCAATTTCTCCCTTGTATTTAGTCATCTCTATAGACAGGTTTGCTTGAAGCTTTAGTGAAATTTCATTGTGTTGTGACAAGAAGAGTCCCATTCTTAAACACCAATCTTTCTAGCCTAGGGTGATCCTGGTCATATTGCCAAGTTCTTGCTTAACTCATACTGTGATGTAACTACCATTTGGTACTTTACTTTGGTTAGAAAAGTTTTTAGCTTTAAGATTCTGCTGTATTACAAATATAATCCATGCTTTTGATACTTCTTTACTTATTACCTATTATGGTATAGGTCAGCATTGAAGCTTGTGCTTTATCCATGTTAAACTTTTTGATATCTGACTTCCATTAGTTTTCAGGGCAAAGGACATCTGAAAACTAATCAAACTATTTCTGTGTCTTGTGTACACACAATCACATGTCAACACTTCATCCCCAGGAAGAAGCACTGACCCATTGAACATAAGAAAAAATTCCAGGTCAGTGGTTCTTGTACTTCAATAGAAAATTTGGCTTAAACAAAACTGGAGAAAGAAATTGTTCATATCTCTGAGCTACTGGAAATTAATCTAATTTATAATTGTGAAGAAACTATTAATAAATTACTATGCTTTAAATGCCCATGTTGGACATTTGAAAATTTAGAAGCAGTAAAACATTGTTGAAAATGTTCAGTGCTGGAGTAAAGTAACATTCAATGTTATAATATTCAGCTAAATATTTTTAAGATCATTCCTGTATGTTTTCAGTTTATAAATTACTCTAATTATTATATTATATAATAATAATTACTAAATAAATATGGTGAGAACATTATTCCATTTTAATAGTTTATCCCAAAGAATGTTGCAATGCTGGGTCATGAGCTAAGCATATGTTGTATAAGTTGTATAAGTTTATAGCCTATTACATAGAAAAAAATGCATATACATATGGTCATAGTTCAAGTCTTTCCATGATGACATAAGGATAAAATATGAACATGTGGTAATTTTATCAAGAAGTTTTCTCACCCTCATACCTTTAAAAATAGCAGTCAATGGGTATAATAATAATAATAATAATAATAATAATTATTATTATTATTATTATTATTATTATTATAAGGACTGAAAAAAGCCTTCATCAGGCCTTCATAAATTAAGAAAGGAAAATGATAAAATATTAGTAGTAACTTTTGTGTGTCAATACATTGTATATACCATCACTTTAGTGAAAAATGGGTGATAGCATCTAGAATAGAGAACCTAGTTTGCACAGAATAGTAGAAGCATGTTTGGGTTAAAACTGGGATTTGGTTGCATTTGTGGCATACTGCATGAAAAATGCATGAAACCTGCCCAATATTGTTTCTACTGTCGGTGGGGTTAATGTGGTGGTTAAGACACTGGGCTAGAAATTTGAGAGTTCCAATCCCATTTTATTGATAAAGGCATCTGGGTAATCTTGTACAATGGTATGTGGGAATAACCTTGGAAGACAGGAGGAAGAGTCAATGACCAATGGTCAGACAAGTTGCAGCTGAGACCACAGAAGAAATGGAGGCATGATGTAGGTGTCAGAAGGGACTCTCCTTAATTTCTTGGCCTGTAAAAGTATGGTGTGGGTAAGAGATGTACTTTCAGACTTGGAAGATATTGTTTTTCTTAAATATATTTTATTAGTCTTATAGTTTTAACAAAAAGTATTTAAGACACATCGTGGTGTTTGGGTAACATAAAATCACAAAATAACAGCTCAACTTAATACATTCACTATAATCTCTCTATTTCCCTCAAGTAACGTAAGAAATTTAATATATTTCATTTCTATCCTAAATTTCTATTACTACTAAACCTGTTTATTAAAACTTTATCAATTTCAATTACCATAATCAAATAATGTTTTACATCAACATATTACCCCTTCAAATATCTCTTGCAAATATATTCAAGTTCTTAATCTCTCTCATCCTTTTTTTATCACCAATCTTATTTATTTCTTCTTCCAATAATAACTAATTTAATTTAAAAAAAGACAATATTATCATATCATATCAAATCATATTATTATACACATTAAACATTACACACATATATAGTTATAATTTTCTTACTTCTAAGTCTAGATCATTTGACTTAATTCATTTCCATTCATTAAACAAACCAAGTTCCATCCGATTAATTATCATAACGAAACATATTATTACACACAAAAATCTCCTAATTAATTAAACATTTCAAAATTCCAGTCTAAATCAATCTATTACTCCAAGAGATGCATTCTTAGTCTCTATAAAGCCAAGTTTCTTTTTCCATTCCACATTTAACTTTCATGTTTCCATACCAAACAAACTTCCATAAAGCAATAAAGTCATCCAACTAAATTAAACACACGTGAATATAATTGTGGATTTCTTACTTCTAAGACTTGGAAGATATTGTTAATCTTACAATAGAGCTAGTACTTCTGTGTATGCTTCTTGTCTGTATAACTTACAAGGCTGACATTTTGGGCCAGACACTCTCAGCCCTAGGAGGAGGTAGTGGCAAACCATATCCAAAATTTTGCCTAGAAATTGCAGGAACCTGTCTAGGCAGGCAGGCAGGGTGAATTGGGAACAAGTATGACTAAGCCTGCTATCCTAATCTATATTTTCTGTACCTTATTAAAAAAAATTGTGTGAAAATCTCAATCCACTAAAGACAATGTTACGTGGTAGAGGTTAATATCCACAGGCCCATTTTGTGAAACTAAATTAGATAATTCCCCTTTTTATCGCCTGCCTTTATTTTTTTACTTTAATCTCTTCTGCTTACTATTTCTCTTCTTTCTCTATGTTTTGCATAATGTTGCTATCTCAAAATAGAATAGCAGTCTGGGTATGTAGAGCCATTCTTTTAAGGCACAATGATTTAAAACTGACAATATAAATAGTCCTTCATGTTTTCAGTAACAGGCATCTCAAATATGATGTAATCTGTATTGATTTCTTAAAATAAATGCCCCTCAATCCATCTCTAAATACTTGTTGAAGTGAACAGTACTCTTTTCATCAACTTAAAAAGTTCAAAAATATTTTCAGCTGACAGCTCAGGGATATGAAACTGTTAGAAATGTTTATATTGTTTTCAGGAGAAGAACTGAACTTTAAAAATGAGGAAACTGGAGCACAGAGTCATCTTGGGAATTTCAATAAGGCACTTGGTTAGCTTCTTTGCAAAGTAGGGGGGTAGCTGAAGAAAAAAATGCAGTTGATAATGGACAGTTTTCTTTACAAGTATTAAGTTATATGGTTATATTGGGAACAATTTCCTAACCTAAAGAGATATTATGTATGTTCATACAGAGACACAGTTTATCTTTTTTTCATATCAATCAAAGCTCCTTAACTGGAAAACTACTTTGCAATGGCCTAGCCTAGGAGTCCCCAACCTTGGCAACTTTAAGACCTGTGGACCAACTCCCAGAATTCCCCAGCTAGCTATGCTGGGGAATTCTGGGAGTTGAAATCCAAAGTCTTAAAGTTGCCAAGATTGGGGACCCCTGGCCTAACCTATTCTGATTTGTAGTGATATCCAGTATTGCAAATACATAATTACAAGAAGCCTACAGCCCAAATAAGATAGCTGGAAATAGTAGTAAAGGAATTAACTTTTAGAATCCAAGACTCCAGGGTTGGCTCCAGGGTTCAGGAGCAGGCTCATGGACATTGTTTGTTCAGGGTACTGTTTCTCCTATCCTTTACAGACTAATATGTGTTGCAGTTGGCTACATTATTTTTTTACTATAAGCATACAATATTACATGAAATTATTTCCAGAAAGCTCTTTTGATAACATTGATGAAAGAATGGTTTGTTTTTTATTGTGCTGTATCCTGCTGCTCTAAAGTAAAAGCCATAATAGCATTAATCTGCATAAATAAAAGATGTCCACTCTTTGCCTGTACAATTTTTCAACAGCCAACACATTTCCCTCATCATCTAAACTTAAGGAAGGAAGGAAAATGGGAGAAGAATAATTGCCCTGAATTCCATAATACTGATGTCTATTATCCTAACTCAGTGGTGGCGAACCTATGGCACGCATGCCAGAGGCGACACTCAGAGCCCTCTCTATTGGCACGCACATCACCGCCACCCAGAGCAGAAGCTCCGCCCAGCACAAAGGAGGCGAAGCGGCTGACTTGCAAGCTCGAGTAGAGGTAGTAGAGCAGAGGTCGCCAACCATTGTTGATTGGTGGACTGGAAGAAAAGGGAGGAGGAAGCATTTTACATGCATGCATGTGCGCACAGGGCCGCGAGCATGCACGCACTGCAAATGGGGCGGGGCTAGTGCCTGCATGATACTCACTAGCACAGCCCCATTCTTGCATGGTGCAGCCCCTTGTATCTGCGCCCTGTGGCACAGTGGCAGCCGTTTTTGCACCTTGCAGCACGGTGGCCCATTTTTGTGCCCCTGGTTTTTGCATGCCAGAGGCGGCACTCAGAGGCGCCTTCCTGCCCCCCCCCCGAGGGCACCACGATGCTGATGCGGCCCTGGCACTTTGCGATAAATAAGTGGGTTTTGGGTTGCGATTTGGGCACTCGGTCTCTAAAAGGTTCGCCATCACTGTCCTAAGTTTTTAAATAGAACAGAACAGAACTAACAAAGTTGGAAGGGACCTTGGAGGTCTTCTAGTCCAACTCCCATTCAAACAGCAAGCCCTACACAATTTCAGACAAATTGTTTTCCAATCTCTTCTTTAAAACCTTTAGTGTTGGAGCACCCACAACTTGGAGCATTCACAACTTCTGAAGGCAAGTTGTTCCACTGATTAATTGTTCTCACTGTCAGGAAATTTCTCTTTAGTTCTAGGTTGCTTCTCTCCTTGGTTAGTTTCTATCCGTTGCTTCTTGTCCTGCTTTCAGGTGCTTTGGAGAATAGGTTGACCCCCCTCTTCTTTCTGACAGCCCCTCTAATACTGGAACATGTCATCCCTAATCCTTCTTTTCAATTACTTCTAATGGTTTCATCTTTCAAATGACTTCTAATATATGAAATGTTCAATATCCTTGCCTCTTTCACATAATTTAGAAAGAATCATGTCATATTGAAAAAAAATAGAGAAAGAGAAGTTACATATATAAATCAAGTAAGCAAGGTCGTGTTTTCTTCTGTATGCATTACATGTAGACAATCCACATAAAAATGGTTCAAACACATTCTGTACATTTATTCTGTACACTTCTCAATGAAGCACTATGTCTCTTCCTGTACTGTCCAAGGCCAAACCCAAGCAGGAAAAATAGCCTTTTCAAAGCTGAGCTCTGTTTCAAAAATGAGTATAGTTTGGCAAATCTTTTGTAACTGTAATCATCACAAAATAGCTTAAAGATTGAAGTACAGAAAGCTGCTTACATTGAATTACCCCATGGTCCTTAGAGTTCAATAATGTCTATTAGCCTTCCTCAACATAATGCCCTCTGGATGGTCATATTAGTACAACAGATGTTGTAATTTAACTCATCTTGATAGCACCCAGAAGGGGAATGTCTTGCCTACTTTACTGGGCATCCCATTTTCAGAATTTCAAGCAGAATTTTTTACTAGCTCTATTTCAAATTATGTTAATATTAGAGTTTCTGTTGGTATGCAAAGAGAGTGCCCAGAGTTTTAGTCCCACTCTAAATATTATTCAAGATAATTTGTACACAGAAACACACATGACAAAACATAAAGGGATGTGGCTGGAACATTCAGGCCAACTAAGACAATAGTAGTTATTAAGCATGTTCCTTTACTACTTTAAAACAGTTGTATTTTTTTTAAAAAAAAATCAATATAACCTATATTTTCCATCAGGATTTATGGGATGCCCATTCTAAAGACAAAACAACTGGTTTCATGTCAATATAATTAGCAGAGAATGTGGCTGATGGAACAAAGCATAATGCTTTAATTTTCTACACTGATTTCAAAAGCTGCCCCTGGAACTAATTTGTTGTTGTGACCTTTCAAGCTTATGCTGACTGCCACAAAAGAGAAATGAAAACTTTGAGCAAATTTAATTGCTTTTTCTCCAGCAACATTTTTAACCTGACTCTGAGAAAAAAAAGTCAAAGAAATTGAAAGCAACATAGCAAGTGACATATTAGAAAATTCTCTAGCCTTTCTTTAAGCATATTTATTTATGTATTATCCAGGTTTTTCTTAATTTTTTTCTTAATTTTGAACAAAAAAATATGTTCAGCAGCAGCCTGTGCTAAAGATTTAATAGAGGTTATTTCAAAAAGTTTGAAAAACAAGGATTGAAATAATATTTGCTATATGCCATCAAAAATAACTTTTAAATCAGAGGTATACCATGTAAAATTATTCTCTCTCTCTCAAAGAAATTAAGTTGCTGAAAAATATTTATAGGACTTTACATTATGGAGAGAACTGTTAGCAACTAAGAGAAGAGAAATATAGAAGGACATTCTAAATGTCATTCTTATACTAATGAAAATCCAACACATGACCAGCAAAGTTACTGTAGTTTGGTACACCTTAGTATTTCACTTGAAAGGTCATCAGTGTCAAATCTCATTTTCTGTTTTAGGAAGTGTGCCAAGTCTTGTAATTTGAGCTTCACTTATCATATAAATTGGACAGCACCGTTCTTACTGTGGACCAAGCACAGTGAAATTCTATGTTCCCTCCCCCAATCCTGCTGATTGCAATATCCCCGTTTGCTATTTAAGTAGACACGTGCAAAATCCTCTTATGGCTTTCACCAGGAATTTCTAAACTGACCTTGAATTGTCATCTCCTATATTGAGAATATTTTCCAGAACAGTTGTTCGCTCAGATTCTGTGTTCTGTGGTGTCAAATTAAGCACACTGCATTTATAAACTGCATGTCAAATGATAAGTCACTTAAAGGAATGCTCCAGAAAAATAATTGGTGGTATTTTTTGTTGTTAATGTTTGCTTTTCTTTCCTTTAACATTAAGAAGTGTGAGAAACTAGGTTTTCTACTGAGCTGTCAAGAATTTAGGGCTGAAAATTGCAACCAAGCAAAATCTAACTTGTTCTAATCGCCATTATCTGATTATATCATTATGGGTTTTTTTTTAAAAAAATGAATGAATAAAATAAAATTCATAAAGCAATGGTCCTTGTAGAAGGCTTATAGTTTGAAAAGATACAGAGCATGCCAGCCAAAAATAAGTCTGAATACCCAGCAACTTTTTTCTAGTAATAAAACATCCACAATAACATTTCAGTCTCTCCTGTTAATGGAAGACATTTATGGATAGCTCTGACATTTTTATATTGCCTGCTTGACAGATGAAATGTTATTGCTATTTGCATACAACAAATTTGATGTTCAAATATTTAACTTATTTCTTTCAGGATCGTTATTTAGAATAGAAACACAATGACTTGATAAATATCCATCATAGTTTTCTGCACAGTTATGCAAATGATTAAATATTATCTCTTCCAAGGCTTTAATTAGCAGCATTTTGAGTTCATTTTTAAAATAACCCTGCTATTTGAAATGACGCAGCAATGGTAAATAAAAAGTCTCAGACACAACTGACCTTGAAGCTGAAGTGACACAAGTCCTGTATGCTCACAGCCAGGAAGTGTAAAGTAGCCTCAACTTTGTGTGGCAGCAAAATTACGGGTCACATGAGAAGCAAAGTGAAAGATGAAGAATGGGGAGGGAGGATTGAGGAGAAAGATATCTTTAACCATTCAGGTATTTGAAAAAACATTTGACCATAGAGCTATGTCCTGGAAAGCATAATTATTTTGGGGGCATCTTTTGGTGCCCTTATTATTAGATAAGGGCACAAATATCACTATGGAGGAGGTTGAACATGCAATAAAACATCACTATGGAGGAGGTTGAACATGCAATAAAACATCACTATGGAGGAGGTTGAACATGCAATAAAAATAGCAAAAACAGGAAAAGCCACAGGACCTGATGATATCCCAGTAGAAATTTTAAAATTGCTGGAAGACAATGGGAAGAATTTTTTACTGCAGCTCTTCAGTCGAATATATGAAACAGGAAAGATATTAAATGATTGGCTAAAATCAACCTTTGTGACAATCCCCCAAAAAAGAAATGCAAAGAAGTGTACTGAATACAGAACAATAAGCTTAATGAGTCATGCCCTGAAAATATTCCTGAGAATAATTCACACAAGAATATACAACAAAATTGAGGAGCATCTAGGTAACACACAATTTGGTTTCAGAAACTATCTTGGTACACGAGATGTGCTATTCAGCATTCAGGTCCTTGTACAGTTTTGTAGAGATGTCAATCACAATGTTTACATGTGCTTCATTGATTTTGAAAAAGCATTTGATAAAATGACACAACAAACTATTAGAAATCCTGAAACAAGTGGGACTAGGTGACAAAGACATCCAAATTATAAAGAATCTATATTGGCATCAGGTAGCAAATGTGAGACTAGGCCAAAAATATTCAGCTGATGCAGAAATACAAAGAGGAGCCAGACAGGGATGTATTCTGTCTCCATATTGTTCAATATCTACTCTAAGTCAATCTTCAATGAGGCAGTGGAGAACATTGATGCTGGCATTGTAAATGGTGTTTGGATCAACAATTTAAGATAGGCTGACGATACAGTTCTACTTGCCAGTAAGCATAAAGACCTTCAGCTCCTCATCAACAGAGTCACAGAAATATCTGAAAAATATGGCTTGAAGCTTAAAACCTCAAAAACCAAGATCATGGTCATCAGCAAACAACCCGTTAATTTATCACCAATAAATTGGGAAGGAATACCATTAGAAAAAGTTGAAAGGATCGCGCACCTCAGTTCTAATTTACATGAAAGCTGGGACATGACCATTGAAGTAAAGGCAAGGATAGAGAAAGCTTGAACAGCAGTCTTCAAAATGAAAAAGGTCTTCTGCAATCATGACGTAAGCCTAAGATTGAAAATCAGGCTTGTCAGATGTTATATTTTTTCTGTCCTGCTCTATGGAGTAGAGAATTGGTCTCTGACAGAAGGCCACCTGAAGAGACTACAGGCAGCTGTTACGTATAAGCTGGGTTGACAACATCAGAAATGAGGAGGCGATAAGCCGCCTGGGAAAGCCAAGGAAAATCATCAAACAATTAAAAAACAAAAGTTAGAATATTTCAGACATGTGATGTGACACCCAGAAAAATAAGGCATACTCTATTTAATCCTCCAGAGAAAGACTGAAGGCAAACGAGGTCCAGGCAGAAGAAGAACATCATGGCTTCAAAATCTAAGGGACTGGTTTGGACAAAACTCAGCAACTCTTTTTCGTGCGGCTGCTGATAAAAATAGGATTGCCAACATGATCGCCAACGTCCGATAACAGATATGGCACATGAAGAGGAATTATTAGTTTCATCTAGCTTTCCGTAATGGTTTTTGTACTTAAAATAAAATATCAAGCTAACACTCCTTAGTCCCAACCAGTGTCAGTCTTTAATCTATAGATTAGTACATTCAGATGAACTTGATCCATTTTGAAGTATTGGCCTTTTACTATTGGGACAACGCTTGGGAAGATTTTCACATATATATGGTAGGTTCTGTTCTCTGTTCTCATCTCCATCCTCATATCTCTCGTTTCTTATTCCCATAGCAAGTAGATTGTGCACGGTAATGTGAATTATAACAGCAAATTAACAAGTTCCTCATGCTCAGATTAATCAGACTGTATATTTGTGCAGCATCTCCAAGGTTGGCTAGCTCTGCAGTGTTTTGTTTTGTTTTTGTTTTTTTCTGGAATCTTGTAACCAAGTATCACAACAATTTGAACAGATTTTGCATACGTTTTACTGCTTTGTTGTAAGATATCTTTGAAGATTTTCCTTACTTATAAGAACCTCTGGTATCATAAGATGGTAATTATCAGGGTGGAAGGCTACAGGTGAAATATCCAGAGAAATATAGTGAGCAATAAAAGTATAAGGTTCTAACCCAGTCTATACTAGTAAATCAATACAGTAGCCCACAGATTGGAAAAAAGTGCTATGTGACCTGATGGTGGTTTGTGTCATGAGGGTGTTTTCTCTTTAACTTTTAATAGCTTCACATTTTTAATTCTGTTTTAACTCTGTTCTTATTTATATTTTATATTGTGAGATGTTCGTTGTATTGTAAACTGCCCAGAGTCATTTAGGTGAAATAGGTGGGGTAGAAATGTGATGAATGAATAAATAAGACGGCAATCTACATTTTAATACCAAAGAAAAGGAAACTTAACTGAGTGTGCAAACTATCATACAATATTCTTAATTTCACATGCTAGCAAAATAATACTTAGGATCACTCAACACAAATGATAATCCTATCTGGAAAAGGAGATTATAAAAAGACCAAATAAAACAAGATATTCTTGCTGATGCACACTGGATAATTTAAAAAGTAAACCATAACAAAAAGAATTCAGTATATATTTCATTGATAATAAAAATAGTTTGATTCTATTGATCATATCAAGCCATGAATGTGCTTAAAAATGAATTCCAAAACATCTCATTGATCTCATGCAAAACCTTTATATAAGATGTTGTTGTTGTTAGTTGCGAAGTCATGTCCGACCCATCGTGACCCCATGGACAACATTCCTTGAGGCCTTCCTGTCCTCTACCATCTTCTGGAGTCCATTAAAGCTCACGCCTACTGCTTCAGTGACTCCATCCAGCCACCTCATTCTCTGTCGTCCCCTTCTTCTATTGCCCTCAATCTTTCCCAGCATCAGGCTCTTCTCCAGTGAGTCCTTCCTTCTCATTAGGTGGCCAAAGTACTTGAGTTTCAACTTCAGGATCTGGCCTTCTAAAGAGCAGTCAGTTGATCTCCTCTAGGACTGACCGGTTTGATCACCTTGCAGTCCAGGGGACTCGCAGGAGTCTTCTCCAGCACCATAGTTCAAAGGCCTCAATTCTTTTACGCTCAGCACTTCTTATGGTCCAACTGTCACAGCCATACATTGCAACTGGGAAAACCATGGCCTTGACTATACGTACTTTTATTGGCAGGGTGATGTCTCTGCTTTTTAGTATGCTGTCTAGATTTGCCATAGCTTTCCTCCCCAGGAGCAAGCATCTTTTAATTTCTTGGCTGCAGTCCCCATCTGTGGTGATCTTGGAGCCTAGGAAGATAAAATCACTACCTCTATTTCTTCCCCATCTATTTGTCAGGAATTGAGAGGGCCAGATGCCATGATCTTGGTTTCCTTAATGTTGAGTTTCAAGCTAACTTTTGCACTCTCCTTCTTCACCTGCATCAAGAGGCTCTTTGGTTCCTCTTCACTTTCTGCCATTAGAGTGGTATCATCTGCATATCTTAGATTGTTGATATTTCTCCCAGCAATCTTAATTCCAACTTTTGATTCATCCAGCCCTGCCTTTCTTATGATGTGCTCTGCATATAAGTTAAATAGGCAGGGCAACAGAAGTAGATGTTTTTCTGGAACTCCCTAGCTTTCTCCATGATCCAGCATATGTTGGCAATTTGATCTCTGCCTGCACTTCTGGAAGTTCTCTATCCACATACTGCTGGAGTCTAGCTTGTAGGATTTTAAGCATAACTTTGCTTGCATGTGAGATGAGTACAATGGTGCAATAGTTTGAACATTCTTTGGCATTGCCTTTCTTTGGAATTGGATGTAAACTGACCTTTTCCAATCCTGTGGCCACTGCTGAGTTTTCCAAATTTGCTGGCAAATTGAGTGTAGTACTTTTACTGCAGCATCTTTTAAGATTTTGAATAGCTCAGCTGGAATACTGTCATCTCCACTAGCTTTGTTGTTGTTCAGCTTTCCTAAGGCCCATTTCACTTCACATTCTAGGATGTTGGCTTGAGGTCAGTGACTACCCCATCAGGGATGCTAAGCTCATTCTTGTATAGTTCTATGTAATTTTGCCACCTCTTCTTAATCTCTTCTGCCTCTGTTAGGTCCCTGCCGTTTTTGTCCTTTATCATGCCCATCTTTGCATGAAACGTTCCCTTCATATCTCCAATTTTCTTGAAGAGATCTCTGGTTCTCCCTATTCTATTATTTTCTTCATATTTCTTTGCACTGTTCATTTAAGAGGGCATTCTTGTCTCTTCTAGCTATTCTCTGGAATTCTGCATTCAATTCAATTGGATGTATCTTTCTCTTTCTCCCTTGCCTTTCGCTTCCCTTCTTTCCTCAGCTATTTGCAAAGCTTCCTCAGACAGCCATTTTGCTTTCTTGCATTTCTTTTTCTTTGGGATAGTTTTAGTTGCTACCTCTTCTACAATGTTGCGAACCTCCGTCCATATGGGCATAATATGGTGAAACAGACTGGCTCCAATGTGGCAAAGGAATCAGATACGGTTGTGTATTATCTTCTTGTTTATTCAACTTTTATGCTGAATATATACTAAGGGAAGCTGAATTGGAAGAAGGCTAAGGTGGTTTTCAAATTGGAGGAAGAAAAATTAATGACCTTGCTATGCTGTTGACATTATTCTGATAGCCAAAAATACAAAGGATCTGCAAGTCCTAATACTAACAGTCATAGAGCACAGTGAAAAGTGGGACTAAAATTAAAGAACTGATACAGGTAGAAAATACCATGGGCAACTAAGAAAACAAACAAATGTATCATCAATCCAGAGTTTGGAGCACAAATGATCAGGCTTAAAGGACCAAGCGCAAGGGATTATATTTTGGACACATTATGTAATAACTTATCTCTCTGGAGAAGACTGTTGTGCTGGGACAGGTGGAAAGAAAGAGAAAAGAAAGACCAGTAGCAAAGTGGATGGATTAATTGGTAATAGGTCCAGGATGGGCACAGTTGTTATGGAGAAAATCTATGTAGTCAGCAAGAGCCAATATCATCTTGACAACACATAATCAGCCAATCGCTCTGATGTCTGTGATAGTGTTTAAGTTACTGAAGTTCTTTCAGCCACTTGTCTTTGTGTTCAATTGTTTAAAAAATGGCAATCAATATACAGCACTGTATATAGCTGTTTCTATGTTCATTTGAAAAATAACTTAGCCAGAAAATAAAAATTCAAAAGAATAAAAATCATTTCATCTAATCTAAGCTTATGTGCACATTGGAGCAAATAAAATAGTCAGATGAATTTGTGGAAGAATGACAATCAAGGTTTAAAGCTGTTAATAATAGTGCTATACAATAGATAGAAGGCAATTGTTTTTGCAAGTTATTATGCACACTGTTTAGCTAGGCATCAACTGCCCTACCTCCCTGAGGAATGTATGCAGCACTGCCTCAAACTGGCTAGGAAAAAATATCAAATAGAGGGAAATCATAGAGGGAATAGAAAGTGTAGACTTTGGGTCAGAATTTTGATATTAAAAGCAAAACAAAACATGAGTAGAATACATAGATTATTGTAACAACTTTGTGTGGTAAACTTTTAATAAGAAAAAAAAATAGGATTCAGTTTTCTTCTCCATATAAGCTCTAAGTACATTGTATCAAAACCTTGCCTAACTACTTCCATACACAATGTTCTTTTTTAATGTGAATTAGGCTGTATTTGAAGAACTGATCAATACAATGAAATAAGTTTTTCTTCATAATTTCATGTACTTGCACAATCAATCCAATAAATTTTAATCTGTAGCTTTTATCCATTCTGAAGATACTCTATCTCCTGTTACTCATTGTTCCCTTCTGGTCCCACATTGCCCCAAACGTACACGTACACGCACACACGCACACACTCACATTCACATGCATTGTAGATTTGTGCCAAGAACATGTTTTAGGTACCCAATGTAAGAAGAACAATCTGGAAATCTTGATTCTTTGGAAGAGCTCCCCAGACAAAGACAAACATGCTTCCTTCAGTAACACCATTTGTGAAACTCCCCAATTTCATTTCCTGATTGCTGCACATTCTGCTTTTGCATGATATTGAATGGAAAGGTTTTAGTTTGGGAAAGATAAGGCTGATGTTATATTCTCCTGCATAGAATGAAGAGAGTATTTGAGGATATAGGAAACATCTGAGAATAAGTTAGAAGAGACTCTCAAGTCTAGATAACGAAATGGAAATCCTCCCTCTACCACCACCCCCCCCCACACACACACACAGACTGAGAGCTTAGAAAAGAGTATTGAGTTGTGAATTGCAATTGAAGAATCAATGCGACTGCTAAGAAATGAACTGAAGGCATATTATCATTTGATCAATCCAATTGAAAATACAATGGAATTGGAAGGAAGGACCCACTTTCCAGTCACCCATGATGGAGCACGGAAGGGAATATGGTATGTTCTGACAGCTCTAGGTCATCAGGGAAGAAGGAGGTGAAGACAGAGACGATGGTAATGTGAAGGTTAAAGATGATGAGATGGTATCCTGTATTCTCTTGTAAGGGAAAAATATTTTTTGGGGACATTTGAGTGTGAATGATTAGAGCTCTTATCTAGAAGAGTGCAATGAATTTCAATATATATCCCATCACCAATTAGTTGGCTGTTTTGGTTTATCTCTTTTTAATCAGTACTATTTTTGACATGTTTATTTATTCATTTATCGTACATTGTCCACAATACATTGTTTGAATTGGCAGCCATGTAAATCCTTCAAATAAATAAATGTGTAAACAAGTGACAGATGGCAGACATCTTTAAGTTTGGGAAACGAGCAGCTACATAACTATTGCCTCTAAAAGGAGATCTAGAATTTATGGATGAAAAATAACCTATAAATTGGTCAGGATTGTAAAGTTCTGTCAGATGGAGAACATCTTTTAATGTCTTCTTGGGAATGCAGAACAAAGAGAGATTCATCAACATACCTATTATAGACCACATACAGACTGACATTGGCTAGAGAAGATTTGGTGGTATCCTTGCCTACGTTGGAGAGTGCTAGCTGTATATCTTTTGGCAGTTATTCTCTATATCAGCAGTGGATCTTTAGAATAAGCTAAATGTACCTGAATCAATCCTCCTGTGGATTTTAGAAAAGCATTATAGACCTACCTGCTTCTCCTGGCATTCAACAGAATGTAAGCAACCATATTAAATGTTCAGTATTTACATATTTCATTATAATTTAATATTTCAAGTTTATTAAACTTTTAAATATCTAAAAGTAAGGAGATTTGTAGAAGCAAACAGGAGATCCACTAGCACATTGAAATGTATGTTATCTCTCATATTAGTTCTCATCTAGATTAATCCATTGTGAAAAATAATCTGAAGATTTGTCTGTTGTGTGTCCACCATGTAGACCTTTCTTAGAGAAACTACCCAATAAGAGAGGTGGAAAGCAAGTGACCTAAACTAAAAATTTAAAAATACGAATGCAATATTAGAACAGGCAAAATGTCAAAATGGTTGAGGCTTATTCGGCCGTAATCAAAATCACTTTATGATAAGATTACAGCTGCCCAATCCCCTACTGGTCATTATGTATGGTGACATAAATTACATCAGCCAAGGAATCCCTGTCTATAAGATAAATCTGGCAGACAGAAATAGGCTCTTGACATCACATCTTAATTTGCATAAAACTCATTAGCATAAGCTTTTAAAGAAGTGATAAAAGCCATTTAATTTAAACTGTTTTTTTTCTTAACCAATGCTAATAATATTGCTGATCTGAAAAAATGTATAGGATTCTTTTTAGTTATAATGAAGCATTACTGGGCCATTAATTTTTTTATTTAAAAATTGCTATTTTAAAAGGCTATTTGAGTGATAGACCATATTGTACTATATAGTTATTTTACAAACGGGATAACTTTGTCACTAAGATATAGCTAAACAACTGCTAGAGATACAATGATGTATTTAGCAGATTAGGTTGCAAAAGAACTACTACTACTTTTTTATTTCATCAACACAATTTAAATCTACTGGCATTTATTCAGGAAACTACAATAGATATAATAAATGAATAGAATGTCAAGGATATCACAACAGACTATAGTTAGAAAAAGAGAAGTTGTGATTTTTGATTTTGTTTGAATGGAAGGTCCACAATACAGAATCTATCCAAATGCAATAATACATTAATGATTTTAATATACTTGAACTTGTTTTCTTTAATTAAATCTTCTAGGAACTACATTTTAGGATAATGCTAGATGGTATTGAATATTCAGTAGGAATATTCTGTCTACTCCACTCATGATGGCAGAAATATGTCAAATCCTTGTTAACAACAATTAATTTAAGCTTGCTAAAGATTTTGAACAAAAAGGTGAGAAAACAAGGACCACACAGAATAAGAGTTATCATATAATTTAATAGAATATGTAAATTAAATACGAGAAAAACAGATATAAGCACCTTCGGCTGCACTTAGAATCTAAAATAGGCAAAGTGCCCCCTGAAAGGACAAAGCTAATATTATAAAATGAAATACAAGGAAATCAAAATAAATTATCAATCACTATGTCACAAACAATTCTCACAAAATAATATATAGGTTCTATATGGAATTTGTGAAGAAGGAAAGATGATTCACTCTAGGCGAAAGAAAATAATTAAAAAATATTGCCTTGGAAATTAGTGTACTTCTGTTAAATAACTGGTGCATGAAATTTTAAAAAATAGTAAAACAGCGAAAATATCAGTAAATTATCTTGTGGTCATATAATCCATGCTTTCTGTTTATCATGCTCAAACTGCTATTATCTTTTTCTGATAGGCATTTATGAAAGGAACAATCATCTTCAACAAAAGAAAATAAACAAATATCTATAAATAACATTATTCACATTGAAATTTACCATATTCATTAACCAGAAATACTTAAACATGCCTACATCATTCCTATTTAAGTTCTTCTGAAAACTTAACAGAGTATTTTATAATTCCTTTAAATGTGCAGCCACGCATATAGTTATATAAAAATAGCACTTTAGAATGATTAAATTTCCTACTGAGCAGATAATGGATGGGATTTGTAATTAGACAAAACTAGATTTTCTGGGCTGGCAATATACTAGAAATGGAGATGAAAAAAAGCCACACAGATTAATTTTCCATTGTCAGAGTTTAGTTTAGTTTAGCACTAAATAATAAAATCTCAAGTATAACCAAATGATCATCCTTTTTTAAACAGTAGTAGTCCTGAGAGGGTTTAAGGGGATCTTTCATCTGCTGGCTGAGACTCCTTGGAAAAGCACACTTTTTCATTCTAGTTATTTAAAAGTGATATTAACTGCATTTTCAAACAATTGGTTTATGTATTCTTTCCATTCAGGGAGACTACTTTTATTTAGGCAATCAAAGAACTAGTATATATGTCTGAAAATGTAAATTGATCTACAAGTAATCTAATCTCCATAGACTTAAAAAAATAAATCTGTTAGTAACTTATTCAAGTCAGTTAAATAAAAATATTTTTTCTTCCTAAGTAGTTTCAGTAACAAATATTTAAACATATTCTTCCTTCTAAAGTCAATATGGAGAATGAGAGATTAAAATATTATTTACTCTTTCAAAGTTTAAAAAAAATAGGATGAATATATTTTTACTTTCCATGAATTTGGCAAATTACTGCTGTTCAAACAATCTTGTAATCTAGGATTCATGGTGAGGGAATGTAATATAAACAGATTAACTTGTAGCAAAAATATAAGTGAATATGCAAAATAATTTGTAATTCTTATAAGATCATGGCTGCAATCCAAGTATGTTTGCAGAAAATTCTACATAAGAGTAGAGTATATATACTGTTCAGTATTGGAAATTTTCTTTTCTTTAGAAAAAAATATGGATTTTTTATTAATGTATGTGGCAGATCAATTGTTTGAATGCAAGCTACCCTTATAAAAATTGGCTTTTATAATTTTATAACTATTAAGGTGATCCTGGACTCACATTGTATGCAGACACATGCAAAATCACAAATATATGCTTGTTACTGCTAGCCTAGTTATGTGAAGCTCAATGGTAGTTAAATGATATTATAGTGCCAAGAACAGAGATCATAGTGTGTAGTGTTATCCATAAAAAAGTAAAAGATTCAGAAACTCTACACCTTCATAACTTGTTCTAAAGAGTATGAAAATCCATCAGAACAACAAAATTATATATGATTTATTCATATTATTTCTCAGGTTAACCTACTGACTATAAGTCTCTAGCCTCTGACATCAGTACAGAACTGAGGGTCACTTATTGTCTTCAATGGAATGGGGTCAAAAGGTAAGAGGTCAATCCTTATAATAGGATATTTGCTTGGAACTACTTTCCAGTATGAAAGAACCCCCCCCCCCACACACACACTCATTTCATCTACTAGTGCATAGGAGAAGACATCACAATCCCATTAAAACATATATACTTTAACAAAAGTTATATGAGAAATGTGCTATTGGAAAGCAAAGTACAAATTACCAAAGAGACTAATCTAGAGACAGGGCTGCCACAACATTGCAATATCAAACCAGTCCCTTCTAAGCTTGTATATTGAGCAACCATGCAAGACAGTGCATTAATTTGCATACCAGATCATTTCACATATTGCTATGATTAGAGAATGAATAATATATTTAGAATATTAAGCTAGTATTTATAATGGCACACTGATATTCTTCAGTCTTCTTTCAGTTTTGAAAAAAGTAAATATAGGAAAATTAATTTATGAACAGACATCTTCAGTTAAAATGAACAGTTTTAGTGGTGTCCACAAAGGGTATCAAAACAGGCAAGTTGATGGATGCTGCAGATGCCCTCTTGCCTGCTTTGATATCTCTCACCATGCTGAATGGATTATACTGAATGGATTATACAGGAAATAATGCTGTTACATATTACATTGTTGCTTTTACAAATACTCTTTCATTTACAATAGACTTGATAAAGTGCAAATTTGGTCAAAATACCTAAATAAAACATGCTTTTTGAATTAGACAAGATTTCTTCCTCTAGTAGCATGCTATTGTTTATTCAACTCAAGCAAAACATTGTACTCAAATTTTGGTCTGCTGTCTCCTTGACTGGCTCAGTACAGTTATTGCCCACCTTTTCTTTAGTCCTTTATTTATTTTGAAATCTCTTTACTTCTGTCAAATAGCAACCATTTGACCCACATTTCTGCTATGTGGCTCCATTCCTCCAACAGTTGATTCTCTGAAAAAGTATCTCTGTGAGACTCTGCATCCCTTTAATTGAGAAGGGAACTTCAATTTTTCTCAGCTTTTGCCCCTTGCATTCTTTAGAGGCGTGCCATGCATAATTTTTCCATTAAACTAAGTTCTTGATAGCTGAAGAATAATATTAATTTCTCAGGCTGGCAGTCTGGGCTCAATTTTTAGAGATAGTTCGTACAGTGTGTCCTCATCTATGATGAGGCTTTTGTCCAACAAGTACTGAGTGACCTGGGAAAGCAAGAATATGAAGCAATTGTTTGGTGATGTTGGAATCATTATATACTTTCTTGAATAGAATTGTAGTTTTTCTTAAAATGAGATGTTTCAATCTTGATACAAACAAGAGAGGAAGCAGATACGAAATTTAGAAAAGAATAGAAATACTTTTTTTTAATGCAGATGGCAGGAAGTCATGGGCCTCAGTCAGACCATTTAATTTGCCATAACCCCATCAGCTCCCCCATCTAAGCAATGTAGCTAAAAAATTGCCTTCTTTTCCACATCATCTCACTCAATGCAAGTGATTGCTACTTAAACAGATCAATCCAGAGAAGGAACCCATGTTTTGTTTTATGTTTCCTCTTTGGCTTGTATGGTAACGCAAAAAGAAATTGCAAATAGTAGCCAGCAGTGTCCAGAGGGCAGCAAGGGATCTTAAGTAGCATCAGCTGGTCATGGTGTCACAATGCAAACTCTTCTCCTTTTCTAAATGGTCACATTACACACATGCACAAAAGAAGTAGAGTTTCAGCAAATATTAGGATACAGCTTGTGCACTCTGTTCTCCCCTTGCCCCCCACCCCACCAGCTGTTATATTACTATTGCAGATCACCTTGCCTCTGAATATAGGTACTCCAGAGCCCATAATTACAGTTGTAAGTTGTGCCAGTCAGTAAACAGGTCATCACATAACTGATTCCATTTTACAGCATTTCTGGTGGTCATTAAGTGAATCACCATGGTCATTAAGCGAATCTGCAGTTGTTAAGTGACTGCTGTGGTCATTTGACAAATCCACTGCCCATAATGAGTGTTTTTGGCCAGAAAAGTACAGGTAGTCTTCAACTTATATCCATTTGTTTAGTGACCAATCAAAATTACAATGGCATTGAAAAAAGTGACCTTTGACCATTTTTTCACCATTGCAGCATCCCCGGGATCACACAATCAAAATTCAGAAGCTTGGCAAGTGGCATTTATTTATGACGGCTGCAGTGTCCCAAGGTGATGTGATCACCTTTTGTGACCTTTTGACAAGGAAAGTCAATGGGGAAGCCAGATTCACTTAATAACCCTGTTACTAACTTAACAGTGATTCACTTAACAACTGAGGCAAGAAAAGTCGTAAAATGGGGCAAAACTCATTTAACACCTATTTTGCTTAGCAATGGCAATTTTAGGCTCAGTTGTGGTCATACGTTGAGGACCAGCTGTAAATGCCAGTTTCTGGCAAAAAAGTCATAAATCATAGTCATGTAACCCAAACAGCCAAAATGCAATTATGTGTCCATGAGGAGGGGCAGTTGGCAGAACTTTGAATCTGGTCATAAGTACTTCTGGGTCTGTGGTAACTTAGGACTGGTTTTAAGTTGCTAGTGTTAACATCAGGAATTCAGTTATCTCACATGATCACTAAGCTTTGAAACCCAACACTGACCAATAGATACCAGCCATGAAAGCCTATACCATATAATACTGAATTAAACTTTAAATCACAAATCTCTTCACCTACCTTGCTGATAAAAAATATGGTGCATATTTAGTAATATATCCAGAATAAGGTAAAAACTTTATACTGTAGTAAAAGGAGATATGAAAATATTGTACCTTTTGTTGATGCTCTATTCGATAGGAAGCCTGTTGGAATTGACGTATTTCCCTGATAATATGCGATATCTGTTAAATAAGCAAGTATCAATAATAATTCCTTGTTGAATTTTAGAATAGTTGTTTGAATTCTAACTTTTCTATATATAATTGTAATATGTAGCAAGGTTTATATTCTTTGCTCTTCTTTCTGGAGCTCTTTTAGTCTCTGAACACTTCATCCTAGGCCAAAAGCAGGATTATGGTCCAACCCAGAAGAATTAAAGTAGGAAAAAAAATATCCTTTTAGTGAGATTTTGGATTTTCCATTTTATACAACTGTTTTCCTAATAGCATGGCCTGATTGTCCAGACGGGCAACAATGTGTGTGGCTTATCAACTGCAGCCAACAAAAGTTGGGGAGGTATATCTGATGCTATTGGGTTTCAGCCTAAATTCTGCAATAGAGAATTTTTTTTTCTGTTGTTCTTTCTCTCCAGATCCCTTTTAAGAGAGGGTATGCAAAATGGGGTTTTGAGTGGGTTTGAGTGTTCCATGTTTTACTGGGTAGATTAATTTTGTTCTGACTTACATTTAACTAGTGTGGGTTTAAAAAATATACAAAAAATGGGCATGGATTCTGTATTGCCAAAATGGTGCTTTTTAATCCAGTTTAAGAGTGATTCTGTGTTGCCAGAGATACAGAGGAGATTTGACTGGATCAGTGTCTATGTTATGGATGTAATGGGAATTTGACTAATCAAGACTACAATACTGATTCTCCAAAATATGCCAGTAGATGGTGATAGAACATTGAGTGTAAATACAAGTATCAACAATTGTTTTTTAATTTCTATCCACACTATGAAATATAATCTTATATACTGTTACCTATAAATCCTTATAATTTTTTTTAAAAACCTGTATAAAAAAATTACCATTCGCATTTTAGAAAAATTGACGAGGCCTTCTTCAGTAAAGTTTGGTGTTCCTTCTTCAATAAAAGCCAGATCTGTGAGGTACATCCCAAGATATGGCACCGAAGGAGGGTTGCAACTGCAGGATAAGAAATGACACCTGTCAGGATTATGAGTTACAGATTATCTTTCCTCACTTTCCACTATCAAAATGTATGGTAAATAAATATTTCTATTTAGAAGTACATTGCATAATATCTAGCAGAAACTACTCCAAATATGGATACTTAGAACAACAGCCTTAGAAAATATTATAGTTATTAGGGTGAATTCATGGCATAACCGAGTTGTTTTTAATTTTCAGATTTGATTGTCAATGTACTATTTTAATTAATTTGATTAATTGTGGGGAATTAAGTGTGTGAATAACAAGGCAATAACCCCAGCCTGCAGACTATAGGTAGGACATGCACCAATTTCAAACGTACCCTTTTTCCTCTCACATATTCTTGTGCAAAAAAACCCAAAATGTCATTACTTCACTGAATCATTTCCCTCAAAGAAGCGATGTCAAGTTTCTTCTTTATTGTCTCTTGCACATATTATATGCTCAATGAAGCTGGGGTTATTTTTCTCTAACTTATCCTGCAAAGAACAAGCATTCCTTGATTCCTCCTGCATGGAAGAACTGCAAAAGGACAGTTTTGGACACAAGGGGAACAACTTTGTAACAGAAGCTTCCATTCTACAAATCAGGGCTGTAATCCAATCTGCCAGGGATGTGATGGTAAAACAGCCATTCCTGTTTCAGACCTGTACCTTTCCTGGCTAAATCAAAAGGTCACAAAACCATTGATATCTTCTGATTTGTTTATTACACAGATGTTAGGGAGAAAAACCAGCTGAGATAAGAAGCAGGAGAAAAAGAAACTGAGTCCTTCCTGAAGAGAGACCAAAAATATGGAAGTGAAGCCAAATTAGCTATCTCTGACATAGTTCTGATTTCAGGTTTAAATAAAAATTGTCTCTGTGACTGCTAGGTTGAAGAATCAAAAGAATAATGCTTTTTCATATTTTTAGTCCATCATCCACTACAGATACAAATTTTAAATCATATAATAATTAGAACAAAATAAGAGACTTACTTCTTGAGTGTTTCTCTCAGATTTTTAAATCTTCCTTCAGATGACACAATCTTTTGAAGTTTATCCATAAGAGCTTTAGTCTACAAACAAAAATGACAAGAATGTAATACAACACAGAAAGTGTTCCCTAAACAAGAATTTAGCTTCAAAGAAATGTGTAGTTCTTCAAGTAATCATCATTAAACATAGCCCAAAAATAAAAGGGTGGCATGAAAAATTTTATATGTGTATTTATTGCTTTGTTCAACTTCTTCAAATAAACATACCAAAGTCAGAATTCTGTCCTACCACATGCTAAATATAACAGTACTGAAATAGGCGCATCATGTTGTTTAAATGAATCTATGCCTGCATGAGACATTTACATGAACGAACATGTCATTTTTGCAAGAATAATATTTAAACCGTTAGACTGGTAATGAATCCAGAAATGCACCTTTATGAAAAGGATACCAAAATATTAGGTTTCAATAAACTGCACAATTTTCTCATGATGAAAGTAATATGGTGCTGAACAGTTATCAGTTTTCATGAAAAGTCTCAATCTGTATTAATTACTTACTTGTTTAGAAACCTTTGTCCAGGTTTTTTTTAGTCTGTAGATTGCACTTCTGTTCAAGGCTGATGTGATTTCAAGGACACCATTGTAGTTGTGCATACATCGGCAAATATCTGCCACTGCAATCCATTTCTCAATGGTATTAGCACGGGAACTGATATCAGTGTAATTCATAATTTGGGATGCTACAAGGTTGCTCATCTAAATGAAAGAACTAGCACTATAAATATTTGCATTTACAAGACTGAATTAAACACCATTAATGATGTTTACATGATACATTACGTTTACATGATATAAACATGTCTGGCTCTTAGCAAACAAAACATATATTACAAAAATGATGAAAAGCAATCGGGCAACACTTCCCAACCTGGTACCCTTCAAGAATAGTTGAAATACTGATAACACATTTGAGAGGTGCTAAATTGCAAAACAAAGTAAGAAAACAAAACAAAAACAAAGAAATTATTGAAGAGATAGCAAAGGAAACTCTGTACAATAGATTCCAATAGCATACTAGGAGCAAAAAAATCAATATAACATCTAAGCAGAAATAAGAAACCAAAATAATAAGGAACAATTTATTTTATACATTCTTAATAAAATGTAATTTAGTTTCTTGTGCCATTGTTTGGCAATCTCAGCAGATTTCTTAAGATTCTACTTTTTAAAATGTTTACTATCAAACTCCTTAACTACTCTTCAGGAAAACTGGAGTCCTTTGGTAACTTTTAGGGTCACAGAAATATTTTTAATTTAGCATTCTTGTATTCTTAGGAAGTATTCTCTATTTGACAACTCACATCGTTAAAATGTTGGCTAGTTTTCATAATGTAAGGTGTTCTTTCATTTTTATCCAATTTCATCCAACCCTGCCCAAGAAATTCTCTGGAAAATAAAATAAAAAAAAGAAACAGCAAAAAAGAGAGAATATTTATTTCTATTCGCTCCATTTATTTTGGAGACAGCTTTACAATTCTGGAATGAATTCTTCTCAACTACTAAAAATGAATTGGTTACATAAGTAAATGTCTTTACTTAAAGCCTTATTAAATCAGGAAACAATGTTTGTTAAAAAAAAAAACATGTTTACTTTTGTAAACTTTCTCTAGCCGGATCTTTAAAGTAAGAAAAATTAGGAGACAAGTTCTTTTATACTACAGTAGGATCCCACTGGAATCAACTATAGTCTTATTTTCTTATTTAATGTGATCATACAGTGTGAACCATGTATATTACTTCACATAACTTCTTTACACTCAATATTTCCTTCCCTCTCCAAACAAAGTATTCATGGAATATGCTTTGAAAATGGTAGTACTTTCTCTTTGCTGATATAGTACAGACATTAGGAAACATAAAGCCACCTTTTACAGACTCAAAGTGCTCATCCATCTGGCCCATATACTGTATGTCAATATTGTCTGGAAGTAGTATTGAGGCTTTCAAACCAAAATTTCACAAATGATTTTTCCAAGTTTTATTTAGAGATGTAGCTAACTGAACTTGTTTCCTTTATATTCGGAATGCAATTCTCTACTTTTGAGTGGTCTTTCCCTGAATGCTACATACTCAGCCTTTAATGGCCTTGCTATCTGTACTACAGATTTCCTGAATTGACAGCACGTACAAAAATTTTATTGTTGGTTCTTTAGAGCTGTATTATGTATTGATATTTTAGCCTTGTCAGGAAATAAACTGCACCTTGCTCACAAAGAACAGCTTAGAAATACTATGCTATTACTGCATTGTGCTTTGATACTAGACTTTTATGATCCAATTATGCTGAAAGATATGCACTGTTCCATTTCCCCTGTCGATATGATCCATTCCAATTTTGTGCAAATTCTTGTATTATCCAAACCTTTGCTTAGAAATATTTGCATTTCCATAATAATGACTGGAATACCACTTACTCATAAGGTATGCTTCTGAAGACAATGTGATCTAAGAGAGTTATTTGTTCAGCAAGTTCCATCACTGCTAATGTTTCAAAGCATTCTGGTTTTGGACACTCTAGCTGTAAGGAAAAAATATATTTTAAACTGTTTAAAAAGCAATTTTAACCTTTTTTATTTGTTTTCTACAATATTAGGCTAATAGCTGTTTTATCAATTTTATTAGTCAGATTTTATTATTTGTGGAAGAAAAATCCTGAAAGGGAAAAGCACTTATATAAATATACTCTCTGTTATTTAACCAAGAGAGTTACTTAGAGTACAATCCAGCCAAGTCCTCACTGAACTGATTTCAACAGAAATAAAACATAAAAGATAGTACACTGGAAAAACATCAGCTTCCACAATAAATTTTCCCTTTTTCTGATAGATTATTTACCCAGATTTAAAAATGTTTATCATTTTTATACATGTTAATGAATTTCTCCTCTCAAAATTTTAATATTCTATTTTATTCCTAAAATTAATACATTAAGATTTTAGAAGTTAAGAGTGCTTCCAAAAGAGCACTGACAGGTTACAGTCTCATTTCTTCATCATCAAAACAGCATTTCATGAATTCTTATTTCTGAAACCCAAAATTGTTTTCCTAATGTTGTAAATAATAAATAAAACAATTTCATTTTCCTGGTGGCTTCCCCAGTGACTTTGCTTGTGGGAATTCAGTAGGCAAGGTTGCAAATGGTAATCATGTGGCTATGGTTCATTGTGACTGGGTTTAAATCCCTGTTATTTGGTGTTGTTGTAACTTTTAACGATCACTGAATGAGTGGTCATAAACTGAAGACTACCTGTAGTTGCAGGTTACGCCATTTGTTCAGAAATTGTTTAAAATTATGACAGCACTGAACAAAAGTATTTATGACTGGTGCTTGAAAGTCCACATGTAGGTACCTCTTGCCCTTATTCCCCGGCCTTCCTCAGCTTGCACTGTACTAAGCAGTCCCCTCCCCCAACTCATGTGTGGCTTGCCAACACATGTGGGTCCCCCAGGACCTCTGTCTCCCTCCGAAGGCATCTCTGCACTCTTTACCTGAGATCTTTTCACTTTTTGCTTAATCAATGAGCCTGGAATTAAGCAACAATCAAGATGGCCTGGACTATTGCCACTGCTGATGTAGTCAGCAGTCATACTTGAAGACTACCTGTAGAGTGTTGTTATTCAGCATTCCAGGCAATCAGACACGCCCTCTTCTAGTAAACCACCCCATTTCAACTAACAGCACTATGGTTACTTAATCAGAACCTGAATATTGTTGAAATGGACAGCTATATTTGTTTTTTTTTCTGTCTTTTAACATTTCTTATACTCCTATAAATCCTCAGATTCTGTATATGTCTCCTCATGGATTCAGACAGATTTAAAGGGATAAAATACTATAGATAAGGGGAAGTTCTAAAAACTTGCTAATACACAATTCTTAAAATAAAAATGCATAGCATGGGCAGAATCCTAGAGTAATCATGTTCCTAGAACAGAATAGGAAAAAGAAGCTTAATGCAGTGAATAATGCCTAGATCTTGAAAAAGGAGTTTGCTATCACTGTTATATCAAGCACCTTACACGGTTAAAACTTTCTGTGCTTCAAATTCAACTTGATATTTCCTCTACATAAATAACTCTTCCATGGTTAACAGATTTTCACTTCTTAAAAATAAGTTCTTATTTATGTTTTACTTGCAAATTGCCACTGCAATTTTAAACAGCCATTTCAGGGTTTATTTGAGGAACTGCCTCCACCTAATTTACATGTACCTGTCCATCAGGTCTAACAGAAGAGATATATTGTTGTTCCTGGTGAAAGAGTTTCCTCTGGTGGGGCCCAGAAGATGGGCCTTTTCTGCCATGGTGTCCACCAAGGTGAGATTAGTCCCATCCTTGATATTCTTCTGGAAATCCTCAAAACATGGCTGTGTCAGCAGGTTTAGGGCTCTCAAAGAAATGGTGATTTAATGAGATGGCAGCATGTTTTTAATATCGATTTTCCTTCTCTACCATCTTGTTATTAATAATATTGCTTGATGTATTTTTAATTGTATCTGTTTTAGTATTTTGATTCTGCTATTGCTTTTTATTTTGTAATATTTAGAATCACTTCTCTGTGAGATGGATGGCTAGATAAATAAACAATTTGTGTAATAAAATATATAAAGAAATGATTTATAAATAGTTTCTGAAGGTATGACTCATTTTAACCAACTTCCTTGGTATATTGAAATGAAAGTTCCACATTTTGCATAACATCTCAGTAAACTAAAGTTCATATCCATAGCTATTTTGTTTCATTGTAACTACTGAACAGTTGAAACACCTAGTGATCAAAAGGAAAATATAACAGAGAATGATGTGCAAAAAAGGCAGTAATAATGGAATAGTCAAGCATAATTTCCAGAGAGTAAGCTCAATTTATGTAAATAAAAAATAAACCAAACATATATTTATTTAAATAAACTCACCATCTGCATTATATCTTCTATTTTTAAGTGTGTGTCATCTTGATCCTCCTGAGAAAGTGTCCTAAAAATAATTAGCAATATATTTTATTTGACAATGAAATTTCTACAGTCTTTTGCGCTACTTTTAATGGTTACCTTATAGCAGTGGTTCTCAACCTTTTTAATGCCGCGACCCCCAACTGGTCATAAGTCGAGGACTACTCAACTGGTTGTAAGTCGAGGACTACTCAACTGGTGCAGCACCGTTTGCAGAATGGGACTTTTGGCGGGCTCAGCAGAACAAAGACAGCTTGGACAATTCCTATTGGCTTTTGAAAGCCAATAGAATTAGACTCTATTCAAGAGAGTCTATTCTATTGGCTTTCAAAAGCCAATAGAATAAAAGGGAGTAGCACAGCTAAGGAAAAGGGGGGGGGAAATGGCACACTGCATTGTTTGACGACCCCCATGAAATGGTCGTTCAACTCCAAATGGGGTCCTGACCCACAGGTTGAGAACCACTGCCTTATAGGTATTCCAAGTATATATGCTTATTTATTCTACTAGTATGCTGTCAAATAAATGTAGACTCATGGTGCTTTACAAAACAATCAATAATATAGATACTTTAAAACAATATATAATCAAAGTTACAGCAATCAAAAATAAATTATAATTATAAATTATAATGACAGGAAAATTAATAAAAAATACAAATAAATGAATAAGTCATTCAAAGTTAAATAAATTGAAGACAACAAAAACAAGGTAACCAAATACTTCACAGAAAAATTAGTAGCTGCTTCTGGAATATTATAGGGGATGGAGGAAGTCTTAACTGTAAGGGGAAGTATTCTGAAAAGCGGGAGCAGCAATTAAGTCTCTGTGTCTCTTCACCTTTCTTCAAGAAAGTGAGATATGATCAAAAGCTTCTCTAAGAAGAAGTTACAGGATGCATCTTCATGACTGCTGTCTTGAAATAATGCCTAATAAATGGTAGCCATAATTTTTAATGTCTCTTCAGAACTACGTTCCACTATGCCATGTAAGTCTTGCATTTTCAGAATCCTATTCAATTATAATGCCTCTAGTACTCTATAAATATATGCTAGATACAGTATATTCCATGCTATTTCCATACATTTATAAAGCAGCACAGGGACTGAGAGAGACACCTGATGCATTTAATGTAAAACCTGTCTTCAAGATGACATGGAATTATGAAAAATGTTCATTGAATACCGATGTTCAATCCCTTGCAAATCCATTGATACTGATTCTCACATCTACCATCTACCATGTCAGTAAGGCTATCAAATGATCTGAGGTAATTGTGCAATACAAAAGTCAATTATATAGGCACCAATATAAGTCTGATATTTTCGTAGAGCAGTTCTGCCTATTTGCCCTGCCCGGATAGGGCGTAGAGCAAATAATACCAGAAACAAGAGTTTTATGAAACTGTCCAGATTAACATGTTTATTATGTTATATAAGATGCTATACAAGTTTTTTGTAGCTTTTCTTGCAGAATAATATTTTGGTGCTACTTCTTTGGAAATGTTCAAAGTATTTTTTGGTTTTTCAATTGTAGCACCAAACTGCTTGTATCATGTAAACAAGTGGCTTGGATGAGTTATTGGAGGGACTGAGCTTCTCAAATTGCTTGTATGTAATATATTTAGAATGTTCATATATTTTTAATTTGCAGTCAGACTTTTGGTGAAAAGAAGAACAAAAAGATACCAATTCTTCATGGGTATAATTTTCCAGCATATGTTCCTTAGAGAAAGATTAAAATGGCTTTAACTCTTTATAAAACAGTTGCTCGGCAGCACATTTTTGTAACAAAATTTTATTTCCCCCTTTTTAAAGTGATATGCTGAAACTAAACATCTAAATTGATCATATTCCTGTTTCTTTCAAAATACTTCTGTTATGAAACTCATAGATCCTCTTTACCTGAGGATATTTGCTGTAGCTTTCCTTTCTTGTGGCAAAAGGTCAGGGTCTCTCAAAACCTCTTCTAGTAGATTAAGAACACTCATCTTCAATTCATTATTTAATTCAAAATCCTGCAAAACAAAGTATTTCTGGATGAAGGAAGGAATCATGTTATAGATTTATAGTCTGTGAGCATGATAAATATTTTTAAATAAATACTTATTAAATACATACATTTGTTTTTGCATATTATAATTTTCTGGTTAATTTCTTTACAGTTGTTTGCACACCTTTCTGGCAATTATAATTATCTGATCTATATCAAGTTCCATGCAAGCCATTTTTGAACAGCCTTTACAATTAATTCTTGCATGATAGTGGCATTGTTTAACCATTATCCTATAAATTCCATGTTGTTTCATTAAATTCAGAACAATTACATTACTTAAGAGAAATTGGTAATAAACTGACACACCTGTGAAAAATAGTTGTATAATCTATTACTTTTATGTGATCTACTCTTTAAAACACTAGGATATTGTTAGGTAAAATTTGCCACCGTTTAAAACTGCACTAAAGTTTCACAGTTTTAAAAACTGCATCCTCTTGAAACTAGAAGTGCTACAAAATTGACTTCATTTAAATTTATCCTGAATGCTTGTAAACTGGTATCCAAACATTTTTTCACCCCCGTGCTCTGGATAGCAAAATTTACAGGGGTTTAAGAGTCCTTAACTATTTTATTAGTCTTACTGTCAGCCCTGCAACAACTGAGAAACTAGCCATTTTACCTTTTGCTTTCATTGTGGGTTTTTTTTTTTTTTTTTTTTTGGTATTTTCAGATGGAGAAGGAGGGAAGGAGAAGTGCTTGAGCTGTTTCAGTTAGCTATAACAATTGCAACTGTGTGAGAATCAAGGTCACATTCTTTTAGGGCAATTGACAATAATCTGTAACTACCACATTGAAATGAAATCATGGACAACTTAAGGCAAGAAAATCAGGATCTTTTATACCCAGAGCCCATGGATTCTAGACAATATCCAGAAAAATTATTAAAGAAAGATTTGATTTACAAGTTAAAAGCAGCAGAAACATTTCTAAGAAAACAGCACATTCATAAGATTATTGTGGAATCAAAGCAACTTATAGAAATAATGCTGAACATCCCATGAAGTTCAGTTTGTAATGAAAAGGATTTGTTTCTTGTTAAGGCAATTCAAACTTCTCCCAATATGGAATCTGAATCAAAGATACACTAGTAATTAATTAATAGAAGAGTTTATGGAAGGAGACATTATCTGCACATAATTGGAACTCAAGATAATTTTAGGTTATTAAAAGTAGTAATATTTTGTAACTATTTTCACTGCATATTGTTTTAGAATGGGAAAGGAATGCCTACACCGTATCAAATCAATAGGCAGTTGGCTGATCTGCTATGTAATTATGGAATCTCATTTATCCTTAAAAATATGTGTTATTTACCTCAATCCTACAAAATAGAACAGACCGATTTACTCTTTCTCTCCTATTTAATAGATGTTCCTTCCTCCATCTCATAAACAATTAAGACTATTTCAAAAGGGATATGGTAGAAGATAGCCATCAAGAATTCAAATGTTGAAATACCTTCTGTCGATATTTATGCTTGAATTAATTGAACAGCACTAACTCTAGTCATTTATATTTCAGGTTACTGCAGATGTTTCAATAAAGGATTTAAACTAAAAGCTTCAAGTCTCCAGTATTTTGTAGCAGTCTCTTTTATAATGAACACCATCACGTGAGTAGCAATTCAGAACATGTTTCCATAGAAACAGAAACAATTATCACCAGCAAAGTTCTTGAAACTCCTGCACATTTAACTTTCCACGTAGGAACAAGAGAGATCAATGCAGGGCTTTTTTTCTCATAGAACGCCCAGAACGGAGTTCCAGCACCTTTTTTGGATGGAACCTTATAGCAGGGCTTTTCAACCAGTGGTATGCGTACCACCAGTGGTACATTAACAAGTGGCAGATGGTACGTAGCCCTGCTAGCCAAGTGTACTGGGGGAGGGAAAGAGTCAGCGCAGGCAAGGACTTATTGTGAGAGAGTCCTCTGGAGCTGCAGAGTGGCTGAGAAAGGAGGAGGAGGCTATAAAAGGAGGCAGATTGGGCAGGAGAGAGAAAAAAAGCAACAGCCTTGGGAGGAGGGGGAGTCAGCTCTAGCTGCACCAAAGGGAAAGAAGAAGGAGAAAGAGGAGGGTGGGGGGAGAGAAGATCAAGATGGCCGGCCATGAGCCAATCTACAACTGCTGTGGCAGCCACCCCTGCTGGCAGCAGCAAACAGGCAAGAAATGCAGCAGGGGAGGGGTCGCCCTCCACGAGGAATGAAAAAAAGGCAGCAATGGCTGGAGGTAAGGCACTGAGGAGGGAGGGAGATGGAGAGTGGAAGGATTCTTATGTGCTTTTGTGACTTTAGAGTTCTGGGATTTGTGCAATGTAGGCTTTGTGTTCTTAAGGAATCTTTGGCAATTTCTATTTGGCTGATGGCAGATGTCTCGTGTTAGCTTCTATTGCTCTGCTATTGTTAGCTGTAAGTTTTGCTACAAGGGATTTTGAAGTATTTTTCTCCTGAATGGATTTTGCCTGTAGCATTCCTTTACTTATGAATGGAGCCATTTTTTTTTCTTAAGTGCCGGCTGCGCTCCTTAACTTTGCTTTCTAGCCCAGTGATTCTCAACCTTTCTAATGCTGTGACCCCATAATACAGTTCCCCATGTTGTGGTGACCCCCAAGTGGGTGTGGCCACCAATAAGAGGGAGTAGGACAGCTAGGGAAAAGGGAAAAAAATGGCAGACAGCATGGTTTGGTGACCCCCGTGAAATGGTCATTCGACCCCAAATGGGGTCCGGACCCACAGGTTGAGAACCACTGTTCTAGCCAGTAGCTAATTCTTAAAGGGGAATGTGCCTTTTTAAGCTAGTTCACTCCGCAGTTTGTCTTTTCTGTCTCTGGAGGCTTTTCCTTGTTTGATGAATATATGGAAGAGAGAAAATATGGGGAGGGGTTCAAATTCTTCCTTCAGAAGGAGGTGGGCATGAGAAAGAGGGAGGCAGGGAAGGAGGGAGGGAAGTAAGTCTCGTCCTAGCACTTGGCCACCAGCAGCCCTGCCATTGACTTTGCTTGTCAAAAGGTTGCAAAAGGGGATCACATGATCTTGGGACACTGTGACCATCATAAATATGAATCAGTTGCCAAGCATCCAAATATAATTCACACGACCCTGGGCATGCTGCAATGGTCATAAGTGTGAAAAATGGTTGTAAGTCATTTCAGTACAATTGCAACTTTGAACAGGTTTGGTGGTTTTTTTGGAGGGGGGGTCAAGTTTTTGACACCTTGCTAAGTATTACTCGATTATTGCCATATCCTAAAAGTGGTACAATCAGTGAAAAGGTTGAAAAGTCTGCCTTATAGGGTAGGCAAGATGGGTTGTATGACATGTGTGAGTTCCGGCACCTTTTTTTTTTTTTTTTTTTAGAAAAAAAGCACTGGATCTATGTCTGAATTTTGTGCATGTCTTTTCAGATAGTTAACCAACCATGCATTTTCCTGAGATTATAGTTATGTTTCATGTTTTGAGTTTTGGTGTGCTTTCGTTTGAAGGATTATGTAACAGATTGCCCTGATATCAATTTATCTGCCTATTATTACTTTTATAGTAAGACCTCATCCTCAATCATTTTTAACAAGACATGTTAAAAGGCCATGACAGTAATGTTATATTAGATTGGGAATGTCATGCTTCATGTTTCTAAGGAGTAGTATAGAAGAATAGAAGGGAAATGAAATATACTGTATGCTTGAAAAGCTCTTGCAATAAAGATTTTGATAAACAATAAATAAAAGTATTTATTTGGGCTCTTGAATACACTGAAATGTTAAAACAAACATGTAGTCATTATCAGATTTTTTTCTGATTTTTAAAAATTTAAAATTAAAAACTTAATTTGTAAACTGAACTTTTTAGTGTATGCCTGTGGAGAATTTGAGTTAGTGTCGTCCACAAAGGATTAAAGGATTAAAATCTACAGAATGAGTGGCATGGTGGGGCAATCAAAAATCAAGATCTTTTATAACCAGAGACCATGGATTTTCCAAGTTTATTCACATGCAGACAAAAGCCTAAGGTTTCACTCATAACACTACATTTGTCCTCTTGCACATTTTGAAAAATCTTCCTGTACATACTCATGAACCTATCCACCCATCCCTTAGCAATTATAGAATATACTAATGAAATTAGGAGTTTTTTAAATATATTCCTAGTAAGAAATGGTTTCTTCTGTAAGGTTGAAGTTGAAATTATATTCTTATTAATTTTTTTTAAAAAAGTTGTTTGATACTTAAAGAACAAATTTCAGAGTAAATGCAGTTCATTATCCAGACAATGTTATAATAAGTTCTTACTCCCTACTCAGCAAACAGAATGAGAGAAATATGAATTACAGTTTGGTGATATTCTCCGGTGGAATATTTCCCCTCTTGTGAGCTTGTACCAAGAGGCAGCATGTTACAGCTACTATGTAATCCATTGTCATTTTCAGAAGTCAAAGTTAAAGTTGAGATTGAGTTAAATTTTCAACAAAAATCTTCCATATCAAGTATCTTTGAAGTAGAAGCAAACGTTAATCTTTAATAGCCCTTTCAATCTTCAATGCAAAACTTATATTGCATGCAAAAGCATCATATTCCATTGTCTTAAATACAGATGCAGATACTGTGGTTTTTAAAATATATTCCCGCCTGAAACATGCCAAAATAGAACATTTTCCTACCAAAATCCTTTTCTGCTCTTCCTTACACATTTACAATTGTGGTTGTTTCAGTTGTGGGTCCTTGTTTCCCACTTTTTCCATATCTGCTGAATTTACTATTGTTATTATGGGATCAGAATCATATCAACAGTATGTCTAAAATGAAAAGAAAAATGGCCTAATACTAGAAATGAATTGGGATGTATTACTGTACATGTCATCTTCATGGATTACTGCCTTGTCATGGCGAAGGGGCTTGCGTAACTCAGTGAAGCTATGAGCTATGCCGTGCAGGGCCACCCAAGACGGACAGGTCATAGCAGATTGTT